GGTCTGGATGCTTCTTATAATTTCCCGACTTCTGGAGATGGCATGATGGAGGTAAAGGTGTGCGCGCTGGGAGACTCGCAGAGTTTTCCATGGAACCTCACTCGGAACCGCCAGGACATTGCCGAAGAAGCATACATTCACTTCAATTCAGTCGCCATGAGCTTCCTCACCAAGGGATCTCGGATAGCCAGCTGGACACAGCGCATTCGTGCGAATACGACCGCGGGGTACTTCATGCTCCCTAACTACATGAACAACTACCAAACGGGTCCCTTGTTGGAGACGTTCAATCTTGCAACTAGTTTTGATCCAGAGAATTTCATCGTTGACCAGGAGGAGAGTATGGATGTGCGAGCCTTAGATAAATCACATGTGCTAGGGTAAGAACTCACTTTTATATATTTATGAGAGGCGCTACCGAGACACCAGCCAGGCTGCCTCCATACCAGGCTTCTTTAGGCCATACCCTGCCATCTAGTTTGAAAGACAAGGTTGTTCTCTTCAAGTGGCAAGGTGTGGCCTAAGCGAGGCCTAGTGTGGAGAAAGCCTGACTGATGGGGCAGTAGCGCTTCCCAGCTTTGCTGTGATAATCTTCTCACATGGCTTAGATATGGTTATCCCGACCCTACGCCTGTCAGCTCACCAGCTCTTGGGCCTTTGCTCACAGCCACCAAGGCCCTCTTCGGCCCGTCCACGTTCTTCGCCAATCGTGCTAACTCGACACCGACTCTACCGAACATCACCTCCTTGTCATTGGACGAGTGCTCCGAGCCTATTCCGTTCACTTACCTCTCGAACACTAATACTGAAGATAATACCTCCTGGCGATACGCGACTCTCAAGCCCTGTGCATCAGACACCAACTCCACATACTTCAACGACCTGGCTGCCTGGCTTGGTCAGCTCTTTGCAAACTACGACAACCCCCAGACAACGTCTGTCTTTACCCAGGGCGCCTTCTTTGCCAATAAGGCTAACCTGGGCCGCGCCTCAACTGAGCAGGCCTACCGCCGAATCCTCTTCAAGGATGACGGAACCTCTGTTGAGATCTTCGCGATACGACCATGGGCAATCGCATTTCTGTCGACCATCATTGGCCTGCATCTTGTCGGATTGGTGATCATGGCCTTCTACGCGGGATTGCATCCGACCTGGACGGAGTCATTTGATGCATTTGCGATCCTGAGAATCGGGGTGCAACTGGCGGAGCGAAAGGATGTGAGAGCTCAGATGCCGCTGCTGGGAAACGCGGAGTGAGTTACTTCCTGATTAGTGGGATTCCGCGACTAACATGAGTGGCTTTAGGATGAAAGACACTGCGATTCTGGACCGTACAGACGGAATAATAGGCGAGGATATCGATGCAGTGGAGACTGAGAACGTCGGTCGGCTGGTCCTGGGTGGACGAGGACAAGTGAAGAAAGACAAACGCTACCTCGTGTTTCAGTAAGGATGCTCAGCCGGGATGAGTTCACACTATCCCGCCCGTAGCAGCATATCTATCACCCCTTCGGAGATCCACTATGGGTGGCCTGATCGACAACAAAGCCGCGTGTAAGCTTGATTATCTGACAGAGTCATGCGCGGTTCAGTCATCCATGCAACCATCTGGATGTCATCATGTCCCTCGTCTTTCCCAAGAACAATCAAGACAGGCCGACGGAAATTACGCCGGTGGCGCCGTGGATTTCGTCTACGAAGCACTGAGACCCAAACCCTTCCGCCACATACACCAAACTTCGACAGAGCTTCGGAAGAGCCTGTCTAGGCTGGTTATCCAACTGCTGCATGGGCAGTAAAATATCATCACTGCCAGGAAGGGATTAAAAGGGATACGCTGATAGTTAAACGGAAGGATCATGATATTAAAGGCCTTCCCCACCATCCCATAGACATGTTGCATAGGACAAGATCTTCATCCTAATCCTCAAGCCACTGGAGGCAATGCTCTTTCTAGGAACAAGCGAGGTCCTAGCACCACCAATCAATATGCATATAAGCCCTTATCCACTTAAATCCTTCGAAATCCGAGGTATCATACCCAATCCCTCATTTGCCCAGCCCCTACAACTTCTGCACATTAGTGCGTACATCTACCCCTATCCGGTCAATTGATTCATGCAAGGCGTCTCCCCTAGACCCTTCTCTTCTGCAATCATCCACAATCCTTCACTCTGAATCCCTTCTCCGCCCCTCTTACTCCTCAGGCTATGAAGACTATATCGAATCACCATTGCTTTTTTCTTCTTGTTTTAAAGATATAAAGGAAACTAGAAAAATGCACTACCCCCCCGCTCCCCAGTCCCAACCAAAAAGGAAAAAAAGAAGGAAAGGAAAAGAAAAAGGAACGCGAAGGGAACGCTAGAGAGGGAAACGAAACCGAAACCGAGCAATGAAAAAAAAAGGTCCTGGCCCCCACGATCCAGCGCATCCTCACCATGCAGGTTCTCCACCAGGCGCCGCACCATGATCGGCCTTTTAGCTGGTCCTGCTCCGTATCCGTGTCCGAGCTTCCGTTCTCCGTGCCAACTCATCCTGATCGGCAGAAGATGAGACAGCCTCTCAGCCCGTCCTAGCTTTGCCACAGCCACAACTGTTCTTCCTGTATTTATACTAGTGCATTATGAAATATCCCTCCCCGATGCTTATCTCACACCTGGAAAAGCCCTTTTTACTGCTTATGTTTTAGATCATTTGTTTCCAAGGGTCCGCCGCAAGGCCTTTCCGTCTAGTATGTATTTTCGTCCACCAAGCGCTTCTGCTAGAGAATGCATCATGGGCTCCTGCAAGTCAGTATGTACATGAGATAACGAAGGCCACTTTTAGTAAGGATGGCGGCAATATCGTTGGAATATCTCACGTCGGAAATAAAGTTGATGCCTGTAGAATGGTTCAGTCATATAGTAGAGAATGCCTTGCGGCAAACTCCACTTCGACTTCAGGATTTCTTCTAGGAGTCACTTGTGTCAGAGATCTGTCATGGCTCTAGTACGTAAGCGATACAGTTTGATAGTATGGCACGTTCTCGCCCGCTATTCAAAGCACGAGTATCCCTTGCATGCTGCTGATAGTTACATCTGTCTATTGCTTAGTAGAAGGGTGGAATGCGAATGTGGAATGCTAATAAGGAAAAAGCACCCGACGCCACTGGGTTAAGGAGGTCATACGACGCTGAAGAAATAGAATCTAAGGTTCGAGATGTGAGGGGTGACGAGGAACCTTTCATGGACTTCATAGGTGGTACTTCAGCGTGAAAATGATTAGAGACACCCGACGAGGAATTCAGTCAGTCATCATACCCGAAGGTAGGTGGAATAACATGCTCACACAGAGTAGTAACCTTAGCTATCTACTAACCGTATAGGAGTATGTGAAACGCGCTGCATACAAGAACAGAATCATTTCTCCCGTTGAACAACAAAGATGACTTGCGCGTTGGTTAACAGCATTCAAACTCTTCAAGCAGTTTAGTATTGTAAGTCTCAAAGATAAGGCATTCAGTATCCGCGCCATAAGCGGGCGTACCCTATCGCTCGTAATAGCCCTCTATGGCAATCTGCAAGGGGTACGACGCACCCCGCTCTTCAACAGTGGGGTTGGAATGCAACGAAGTTTGTTTATCCTGTTCTCATATAATGCTCTTGTCCAAGAGTATTGGTGACTCACACGGGGAGTATAATGAGGCTGTGTATCTTACGAGATAGACAAACTGCCTATGGGCCGGTAGGAAAGGTTTTACGGAGCTGAAATAAAGATGAAGACTTGCCATTTAGGAATTCAGCTTCCTTCTTGAAATATGAATTCTTCTTACTACGTTATTCATAATTACTAAAGACTTACTATATTATTCTAGTCAGTCTTAATTCACGCTCGTTGTAAGTGTATGTTTGTCCTCTAGGTCGCTCCGAAACATAATGGGGAATGAGCTAGTCGATATTCGGCTGCAGTAGACCAAGATTCGATGGTACCACAGGGTAGGATTTGCAAATAGCATTTTCGGGGTCATCCTGCATGTCGGCTCTTCAGAGCAATCCAGGCCCTGTTCCTAGTCTCAAAATTCTCCGGCAGTGGAGTTGAAGAGGGGTCAGTTGAGAAGAAACCTCGCGAGATCCAACTCACTTATGCGCTGCACCGAGCTGATTTGTTGCGAAGTTTCCTCCACATGGCGCTTGCCATGACAGTCTAGATGGTCTATATTACTACTACATCGATATAATGTCTCAAATATGCAAATGTATCGACAAAACTAGGAGAAACACCTGATATACCGGGCCAAGTGACGTATCTAAGTTCGGACAATATTCATGGTTGAAAGGGATATATAAATCATCAAAGAACGCGAACTTTCCACTGAAATCATCCTATCATCCCAAGAAGTTGCCTACATCTTATACAATCTCACATTATATCAGACAAGAATCCAATCAGCCGCAATGAACTTTTCGCAGATTCTTGTTGTCCTCGCGACCATCGGTCTTGCCAGCGCTGCACCAGGCACTAGCGATGCCTCACAGTGCACTACAGCCCAAGCCAACTCATGCTGCACTAGCTTGACTAACGGCATCTTGAATGTGAACGTGCTTCCCGCACTTTGCGTTCGTAAGTTATCGCACTACCCTATCCACTGTCCGTCTTGCTAAGATTTCATTAGCGCTTGTTGGAAATTGCAACAACCAGGCCGCCTGCTGCACCACTAATGGAATTGTAAGTATTATTGCAATATGGTTCATTTATAACACGTACTCATGCATTACCTCTAGGGTCTTCTCAACTGCCTGACCGTCCAGGTCTAGTCGAGATGATGACTAGATGCGTACAAATGTATCCTATTGGATATGACCATCAAGTACCATGAGACCTACATTGAACGTGGTTGGAACTTTTTCCTGCTTTTTATTGCTTTGGAGGACCTTCAGCACGATGCATCGTTGTATGGATACACTCTTTTGACACATAACTGGGCCCAGACCAATATCTGAATATAAGCTATATTCGTCAAATTACCATCCAGAAACGTCTACGTTCCGTTCATATGTAGATTTTCCAGTGGGGCAGAATTTAGAATAGCCTTCGGCCATAATATCACTGTCTTTCATGTGTGGCCAGTATCCAACTTTAACTCCTTGCTTACTAGACAGCACCCAGTGTTCGGACAGGGTGGTTTGGTGCGCATTAGACAGGGTCATATAAGGCTAAATAATAATAACCATACCTACTTGGGATATACAGGTACCGACAGGAAAGCCTCTCCGATGATGGTGCCTGATACTCAGGCTTATAAATTATGCCGATTTAATGATGACACGACCCCACCATCCACTAGTATACCATTGCCCTTAATAAAAGACGACTCCGAACTCGTCAAGAATGCCACAGCATTCACAATATCCTGCGGCGTGCCCAAACGACCCACAGGGCTCATGGCAATAAATTTCCCAGCTGGACCATTGATCTCCTGTCTGCCGGCCTTTGTAGAAAATACTCCGGGGCTACAACAGAATTCACTCTTCCCCCAACACGCCCCCAAATTTTCGCGGCAGTTTGGACACGAAGTATATTTCGGCGTTTTGAAAGACCATACGCCCGTGCAGGTCCATGGTGGTCGTTGGGATCAATGGTCAAAGCGGGATGGTCTAGCAATTGTTCCCTGGGCGCTGTCGCAAGATGACGCTCGAGCTCCGATGACAAGCCTGATCCCATGTGACCAGCCATACTGGCTATACAGACCATGCTCGTTCCGGACTGCGCCACTTACAAGAATGCCTCAATAGCTTTGGCGGTGCCGAGGAGGTCGACTTCCAAGGAATTTTTGCGCACTACCTGCGGATGGTGACAAACCGGCTGTGTGGATGACTCCTTCGATGGGACCTTGTGATGCAGCAGCCTGTGCGAAGCCGCTGACGGATGCATAGTCAGAAACATCTACATGAAATGTTCCTACCATGTAACCGTCGTCTGTCAAGGTTTCCTGTGCGGCGGAGAGGACTCCGTCGGAGAAGTCGGCGATACATAGTCGACGGCCAGCACCCAGGCGCCGAGCGACGGCTAAGCCTGTGCAATAGTTTTCGTGATCATAATTTTGGTTCTGTCTAAGTTTTGGGAAGGGGTATTCAGTGAAGGATAGTTCGAATGGGATCATGGGGTTTCAATATTTTAATGTGTTTGGGCTGGATGTGGGCTCAAGTCATGATTTCCTAAGAATATCTCATTTCTGCCGAGAACCCTGAATAGACTGGCATGGTCTTTTAAATATGAATAGCCAACCGCTTCGGGGAAAAAGAGTATGGACCCTGCATATTCGCAACTGGATTTCTTCAAAAGCGCATCTTTGGTGCCAATTGTCGATCCTCAATCCGAACCCGAATACGAATAAGAGTTGGCACCTAGGTTCGGCAAAGAGCCCAAATACGAACCCGAATGCGAATAAGAGTTGGCACCAAGAATCGGCAAAGAGCCCGGATACGGACCGGAGCCCCTTTCATTTGACTTTATCCGCCTGCTGCATAAAAGAACTGCATAAATATCCTTCATCCGACATCTTTCTGTCTGAACCTCCAGAATTCTCTCATCAAAGTCATTCTCCCTTTTAGATTTGTTGCTTTGGTCTTCGTCAATATGTCTGTATCCATCTCCAATGGCCAATCCTCAGTCTCAAAGGGACGTGATGTCCCCACAACACTGAACTATATAATCCCGCCTGGTCGTGAAGGATTAAAACCAATCGATGCCGATATACCTGAGGCTCAGCGGCGCTTTGCCAAACGTGAGGGTATAATGGATGTGAGAGACGTCGTGATCAAGGATATTCGTGGTAAAGAACACGAATTTACCTTAGACGTTCAAGGCTTTCAATACGTTAAACATGCGATTGAGGGGGTTACGGATTGGCATGACGCCGCTCAGATAAAACAAATAATTCAGCCCGCTACAGAAGAGCTGGTCAAGCGACTGTAAGTGTTTCACCCCCGCCGAAGGATAAGCCGACAAAATGGACTTAATTCCTCTGACCATATTTGCAGAACCGGCGCATCCGAAGTCGTCGTATATCTCACTCGCACCAGATTTGAGGGTAACGAAGTCGGGAACCAAATGAGCACCCAGAATTCTCCTTCGCATGGTGTTCATACAGACATGACGCGTGCATCTTGCCGGAGTGTTCTAAAGGATGTCCTTACCGAAGATGAAATTGAGCGGCGTCTTAGCCATCCCTTTGTCGTTGTCAACGCATGGAGGCCAATCAAAACAGTTCGAAGAGATCCTCTTGCGGTGTGTGACTGGCGATCTGTTGACCCTGCTTCAGACATCGTTCCAGATCGCAGAATCATTTCCGACCATGTAGTCGAGTTTGGCTTGCCTGTCTACAACGAAAAGCATGACTGGTATTATCTTAGCGAGCAGCAGCCGGATGAGCCGATCATCTTTAAGCAGCTAGGCAGTGATGCTGCATCTAGCGTGACACTGCTTCACTCTGCATTTGTGGATCCGGAGCATATCCATGGTCCTCCACGGGAGAGCATTGAGATGAAATGCTTTGCATTCTTTACTGAGAGCACTGCTTAAGCTGTTGGTTAGTGTGAGTTCGTCTTGCCAGTTAGTTTGGTGCAATTACCAATGTATTTCCGGGATCTAAAAGGTTCTGAACCTAGCAATCCATAGACCGTAGCATACAACGAAAATATCAACCTTACTCATACAATCGGACCATCTTACAATTTCAAACAGCGCCCGCAGAAACGGGTTTGGAAATCCAAATTTCCAAGATTTGCAATCGAAATCTGTACTTCCCACAAAATGACGTGCCATACACTCATGTCCCGGACAGGCTAAACCTCTCTGGGATCCCGACCGTCCGCGATTATTTTGGGACCCCGACGCAAGATTCTACACAGTATATAGGTCTCGAACTACTCTCCCCTGCTTTACAAGGTATACAAATACAATTTATCGGAAGAGGCATTCAATCACTTCAGAATGTCATCAAAGTCTCCCAATCATGCAATCGTCTACGGCGCATCAGGCTTAATCGGCTGGGCGCTAATAAACCAGCTCTTAAGTCCGTATCCTGCCGCTGGTACATTTCAAAAGGTCACAGCTGTGACAAATAGATCCCTCGATCCTTCGCAGACATACTGGCCAGAGGCAGGTCCTAATCGACCCCAGCTGCAATTGGCTTCGGGCGTTGATCTTCGCAGCTGGGATCCGGATAGACTGGTGGAGTGGCTGAGGGAGGTTGTTGAGGATAGTGAGGGTGTGACTCATGTCTATTACTTGGGTATGGTTATATCTCATCATAGTGGTTATGTGGAGATTGCTGACAGTGAGTAGCCTTCGCCGCCATGGACGACGACTTGGAAGAAGTAGCGACAAATCGACGTATGCTGCAAAATGTCATTGATGCGCATAACATGATCAGTCCGAAATTGCAATTCGTTGCTTTTGTGGGTGGAACCAGGGTGAGTACTTATTATTCAGGCAGTTTGCGGACGAATCACCCCTGACCAGAAATTAACCAGGGATATGGCATCTATTCCGCCGGCGGAACGTTCACTCCACCTCTAAGCGAAGAATTGGTGAACAGCCTCCCATCAGATTACGCCAAGACAGTGGTCTATCCAGTATACCGCGAGATACTCGATTCATCCAGCAAGGAACGGAATTGGACCTGGTGCGAAGTGTGTCCGGACGCAATTGTCAGTTCTTCCTTCATCTTCCCTAACGAATGGAACGACTAACCGTAATAACAGGTCGGGTTCACCCCAAATGGATCACAATTCAGTTTGGCATTGCATTGGGCACAATATTTATCCCTATATGCCTACAACCACGGCATTAGACCACACACCCAGGGACAAGAGGAAACCACCAAGACATCTGTGGAGGTCCCCTTCCCCGGATCCACGGCTGGTGCTACGTCACTATTCAGCCCCGTATCTAGCAGTCGACTGGCGCGCTTCATGATTTTCGCCTCGTTACATCCAGAGAAGTGCGGGGATGGTCGGTTATTCAATGTCGCTGACCGGGCGACACCGTGTACATACGGATCGCTCTGGCCTCGGTTGGCGGAATGGTTTGGTCTCGTGGGCGTGCCACCTATTGAATCTGCTCCTAATACGGAACATAATACGTTGAAAGTTGGGGAAGTCCCTAAGCAAGCTTCAATTCTCGCACCTGGGGAGTATATAACTAAATATCGGGACATCTTTGCCCAAAATGGGTGTCCGAGAGCTGTTACTGGCGGGGTCGGAGTGGGGTATCGCCAGTTGGATAGTGTCGGGTATTGGTTGACTTTCGATCGGCAATTGAGTGTGGAAAGGCTTCAGCAGACTGGCTTCGAGGGGAATCAGGATCCGGTAGAGGGCTGGTTGGAGAGTTTTGCGATGTTTCGAAGAGCGGGGTTGATTTTGTGATTATGTGCCGAGGATTCATAGATGGGAGACCCTACTGCTACACCGGCCAGCCATAGAACCCCCTACGCACCGTCTCGGGTTGAAATTATACCTAAGTAGTAGGAAGTAGGGTCTCCTTCTGTACGAAAAGTAAACCTTACTTTATATCGACCCGACCTTGCCTTCTAAAGCAGGCGCGTAGAAGACAGATACATGACCTCCACGAGGACCCGGAAGGATCGTTAATAGATTAACTGATACCAGCAGTACCAGTAGCTTGACACATTCTAGGTATTTTATTCAACTCACAGTAATTATTACTAAATTTACCACTTGAGTCAAAATATTTTAAACACTTTCGTGAATATCTTGTGCAAGATGCGCGCTGTGTTAGTGCCTGAGGCATTAACTGTTCCCGCCTCAGGCAGACATAGTCTAAAGTGGGGGTGGAGGCACAACCAACAGGAACAACGAGGCTAAAGATGTTATGGTCTCGGCATAGATACTGTTTAGGATAGTGATAAGCGATTTGCAATTGCGATAAGATCACTAATTTGAAGGGCAAAATGAACGGTTACCTGGATGCAACGTTAGTCTTCTTCGAAGCATAACAGACGAGCTCTCTGAGACCCAGCTTGAGGAGATGTCTTTGTTTCCATATCCATTTGTCATACGAACAGATGGCACGAGGGGCACTCCCCAATAGGGAGTGCGCACGCGACAGCATGCCTTGAGTTCCATCTGCGATATGCTAGTGCTGAATTGCCCTAGCCGCTTTTGCTCGGGCTCCGTTTAAGCCGGGTGATTTTGTGAACATGGTGGACCTGGGTGGGATTCGAATGTCTTGAAAAAGCGCATGGACAAAGGCTTGTCCAATTGAATGCAAGCTGAAGCTAATCAGCGTTCCACTGTGTGTCTACACTAGTAGGATGGTCGTGTACATGCAATTATTGAATGGTGCTCACGGCAGTCTTTGCTACCTTCTCGGGATATGGAGTAGATGCCGAGATGTTGGTGCAGAAAACGGTCACATGTGCATATCTTCTAATCGCTTGGAACAGAGCAGCAGCGGAAACGATTGAGTCCTTTGATACTCCTCTCCTTGACTAACACCATTTCCGGAGTCCGCCGGGTTGCGACCGGGCTGGATGAGGGTAATCAGTCTTCTTCCATCTTTGCGCGTTTATTTCCGCCAGATGAGAGTGGCGGGCACGTGGGATAAGCCGGGCACCATCCACCCATCCGTGAAGCTTGGTGAGCTTGGTAAGGGCGAATACCACAAGGCTGTCTCATTCAGGGCTGAACACATGGTGTGATTGTGCAAGTTATTCGAGGTCCAGCGAGCACGCGCAGGGAACAGTCATTGCAATTGGGTAGGGAGGAAGGGGTGTTGCTGGAAACCCCGAAATCGAAGCCTTGAAAGTGGGTGGAGAGAGACTCCACCGCGATCCAGTCGGAGTGGATCAATGGATGAAGCCCCCGCTTGGTTATCCCTCGCTTGTCACTCGCTCTTCCTGCCGGCAGGAACGTGAAGTCAACCCCATTTCTGACTGGCCCGCGGGGTTAAGGTACTGCTAGTTCGTCCCTGGTAGTAGTAAGTAAGTACCTTACTAGATAGTATTCCGCCACGGTCGCATCGGCCGATATGCCGCCCAGTGTGCACGAGGCACTGCAGGATAAAAGGACGGTATGCCCTGAAACTTGCTATAGAAGTCCAGGCACATTTCTCTCACTGTTGTTGAGCACATCTACCAATGGCTTCTGTGATTGCGCTCCTCACTCTGGCCGGGCTGGCCGCCGGTGCCACCATCACCACCACAGAGCCTCCGCTCGCCGCTATCCAGAGGGCTCAGGCGACCACATTGCCCCAGACCTGGACTTCCAATGTCACTGGCAAGTCTTTCGACCGTTTCTACCAGATCTGGTTGGAGAATGTCGTAAGTATCCATGTGTTGTCCAACGGTATGTCGCAATACTCATACTTAGCCATAGGACTATGTCAATGCTGCCAATGACAGCAACCAGCAGTGGTTGGCTAGCAAGGGTATTACTCTGGTCAACTACTACGGTGTTGGACACACCTCGCAGCCCAATTACTGTGCCTCAGTGAGCGGAGACAACTATGGCATGGACAACGGTAGGGCTGATTCATCCCGGAAGCCGACCCAATGCTAATCATCCCCGGCAGACAACTTCCATGACATTCCTTCCAATGTCTCGACACTGGCGGATCTGCTCAATCCCAAGGGTATCTCCTGGGCACACTACCAGGAGCACTTGCCCTACCCCGGGTTCCAAGGGTACAACTACTCGAACCAGGAAACCGGCGCGAATGACTACATGCGCAAGCACGACCCGTTGGTCATCTTTGACAAGATCTCTAGCAATGACACTGCTTTGCGCCTCATTAAGAACTTTACTAGCTTCGAAGAGGACATGAAGAACAAAGTGCTCCCTCAGTGGGCGTTTATCACTCCTAGTGCGTTCTCCCAATACCTTTACACATTGCCCATACTAACCTAGTAAGACATGACCAACGATGCTCACGATACCAATATCACCTTCGGTTCCAAGTGGCTGCGCAGCTTCATTGAGCCTCTTATGAACAACACCTACTTCTGGGACAACACCCTGCTGCTGTTGACCTTTGATGAGACCGAGACCTACGGTGTCCCCGAGTCGGAGATCTACAACGACCGCAACCGCGTTTTCAGCATTCTTCTCGGTGGTGCTGTTCCCAAGCACCTCATCGGCACCAAGGATGAGACTGTCTACACTCACTACTCTACTCTGGCCACCGTCGAGGCAAACTGGGGTCTTCCTTCTCTGGGTCGCTGGGACTGTGGTGCCAACATCTTCAGCTTCGTGGCTGACAAGATCGGCTACACCAACTGGGACGTGGACCCTACCCACCTCTACATCAACCAGTCTCTGCCCGGTCCCCTGGAGCAATGGGGCTACTCCAAGTACCGTGCTAACTGGCCCATCCCTACTACCAACGACACCTGCTCTGCCGGAAACGGTATCCTGCAGTCCGTCATTGACGCCTACAAGGGCCAGAACCCAACCTACAATTACACTGCGCCCTTCCCGTATGATGCTTCGTACGGCCTGGATGTGAACATTCCCTACAGCCGTAACGGCACTACTTACGTGTCTGGTGTCAACACCACCGGTGTCGTTGGTTATGATACCAACACCACTACCTCTTCCTCATCCAGCTCAGCATCGTCTTCCGCTGCCGCCAGCGCTGGCTCTACCATGACTATGCCTGCTGCTGGCTCGGTTTTCGCCATCTTCGCTGCTGTCGTGGCTTTGTTGTAAATGTATCGTGGGAGATGGTGTTGACTCTGTGTCGACAAAAGAATCTTTGTTAATAATCTGTTGATTTGTTCCATTCCTACTACGAGCCATGAGTGATGTTAGATGCCATCGTTGGATGTTGATATGACTCAATGCTATGTATATACACTACCCTGAATAATAGTCCGCAATACCTCTAGTCAGTTGCTGCGCATACGCTTTACATGCCCCAGACACCCAATAGTCAATACAAACACAGAACCGGTAACAGATCCAGTAAAGACAGGAAAAACACAACAGAACTAAGATCCTGAGCATCGATCCAAACACCACGGGACGCCTAATCTGACATGCGTACGGCCACCATTTCAGTATTGAGCAGCATTGCTAACTACAGAATTTCTTTTCCTCTTGACTACCAATCGGAATATTTGGGAACTATCATTAGCGGGAAGACGTCTTGACCATAATGCATCTCACCTTGTTGTGATTGCACCTGTTTTACTTCCCCCGAGACATGCATATCTAGTTGCAAGCCACTCAATATTACTGGCATAATTATGCATAAACACGAACCGTGGCGTGGATACTACAGTCAATCTGCTTTACTAGAAGGTATTATCACTACCTGCTGAATTGCAATCTTGCTCGTTGAAAAGAGTATATAAGTAGTATCAACACACCCTCAAATTGCCACTCGAATCTCACCCCATCTTACACCCCACCTACTACGCCCATCATGCCCAGAATCTTCCCCAGCTTCAAGGTAGGATCCTATATCCATCCTACCCTCCACAAAGCCAAACTTGATAACCTAATACCTTTCCAGCTCCCCCTCCCCGCCCTAACCACTATAACCACCACAACCCTCCTCCTTCTTACACCCCACCAAACAACAGCCTACTTCTACAAATACCCCGCCCTCTTCGTCTACAAAGACACCAACTGCACCGATATCTCCTTCTCGCTGGTGTACCCCAGCCTCGGTGACTGTAACGGCGGGTACTATGACTACGCGGGCTCATTCCAGATGTTCAATATTTACGCCGCGTATACCTGTAACGACAGCGACACGACACTTACGTTCGAAATGTATAATAGTTCTGGAACGGATTGCGGAGATGAGAGTGATTTATTGTTTAGGCAGCCGGTGACGGAGGAGTGTACGGCTGCGGAAGTGGAGAGCCCTGGGCCGTTGGAGATGCCGGTTTGGTTTGAGTTGGGGTGTATGTGATGGAGGTTTTCGGGGGGAGGGGTGGATGTTAATCTCATCATATTTTCACATACAACGATGAGGCGCTACGGGTGAAACCTGTTTCTTTCCGCCCGGATATTTATATATGTCGCTGTATGGAGGGTTAGTTGCCCATAGATGACTGCCGACGCATGTACGATCATGATAACAGGCATAATCCTGTCTAATCAAGCATGTGAGCCCTATGGCACAATGAATAATAACATGAAGGTAGGATAAAAAGAAACAAAAAAAGAGAATTACATACAACAGCATAAGTATGGTAGTGCTCACCAAGCGCTGCGTGGGCGGCTTGCTACCCTATTGAGTCTTTCTTCAAGGCAATTCAGGCCCCTCTTCACCCACCCGAATACTATATACCTGAGCTAGTCGGAAGGCACACTTGTATAAATAAAATGAGAAAGTAACACTAACACTTTTTCCCTGTAAGCGTAAAGATTTTATTCTCTATATTTAGTCGGTCTCTTTTCTTCATAGTAATATTACTTTTGAGCTATAACTACATTCTGAAGCGTGGGTAATATAGCAGGACGAGATATATCAATATTTAATAGAATAATTGATCTCCATTACTATAATAACTCTCAGTTAACTTAAGCACTTCTTCTATGTGTAGAAGAGAAGTATATTTAGACTTTTCACAGATTTAATAATTTAGTTATAAACGCCCTGCTATAGCCAGAGTTTAGAAACTAATAAATTGCAAATTCTTTGCTCTGCCTCTAACAGCTGTGTCTCCACCTAATCTTAGATTCTATTAAGGGTTTCTGGAATTGTAGCTAAAATATCAAGAGACGACTTAGAAGTAAAGAAACTCTGACAGTAGAAATTATTGATAGGTTTCGTAGAGATTCCGAAGCTGGGCTACTTCTACGGCGAGGTTATAATATCCTATCATACCACGGATACAATTAGAATAAAGTATAATATCTATAGGCTTAGAGAGCTTCCTTAGATATTGGATGTTGGGCTATTCCCTAACCTAATATGTTGTTATTACGATCTTCTAGACTGATCAGTAACATTTATTTGGAGTCGCGCGAGCTACATGCTATCTGTTATTTATAATAGGGCGTGTTTGTTGGTATTTAGTTACGGTGGTCTGAACTACGAATTAGAATCCGGCATTTTGTAGGCAGTGGTGGGGGAGTGACTATGTTCTAGGTACTGGCTTGCAAACGGCGCTGTTGAATGCACCATAAAGCAGCTCCACGGGAGCAATGAATGCTAGACGGCCGACTACAGCGAGCGGCCTGATGCTGTTTCAATGCGGTGAAATGTCGGCATCGCCGTTGAAATGCCTACCTGTGCCTCTCTTTAACCTGCGATGATCAGAGAATGGAGACTGTTTATAATTGGTCTATGCAGCAGATGCGGCTGCTACTGAGTACTTATAGGAGGGGTGGTGGTGTGTAACCCTATTCTCCCTTATCGCTTCTGGCTATTACATGTATATCCTACTAATTAGCTAAAGATCTTTCTAAGCATTAGCTCTACTTGAAGCAGAACAGCTCTGTAACTTCGTATATATGCCACTAGGACGGCGATTAGTACTTATCATTTATTTCCTACCCTAATCTACTAAAATTATCTTATTTAAATCCGTGGTCGCCTTAGCTGTTGGAACATAGTATACACTACTAAATAATATAGTATGTTATAGAGTTTTCTGTCTTGTATGTCTGATCCCCTCAGTCGCGGGGATAGTAGTATTCTAACGTTATATCTTTATGTTCTTAGGGGGACTACTTCGCTAAATAATAAAGAATAAAGTTTAACTAAGAAGGTATGCTCGAAATATATAGAGCTATATAATCGCCGGATAATAAGGAGCTCCCGTACTTATTAGGACATACCAGAGCAAGTTTTCGTAGAACATGATAAAAAGATATTTTGCCGTAAAGATCATGCTAAATAATTTCGGTCGGGAAGGAGTCTCCGATTCTGGCTTTGATATCTAGAAGATTGAGAGTATGTCGCTCGCGCTCTAGGCGCTCCCATACGACAGAACTTCCTGGACTGCCATCTGTCGTAAAGTTGATGCAGAATCCACCACAGAGTAGTCGTAGACATCTATATGTCTTGTTGGGTTGCTCGCGTAGATACGCCCGGAACGCATCAATAAATATGGTGGTAGCCACCTAGCGTTTAAAATTTAGGTGTGGCGGCTCGCTGCTTTGTTTAGGCGTGCTTTAGGCGGCGGCTCACTACTTGAATATTCTTTACCTAAAGACCGTCGAAGTTGTAGAATAAGCAGGTAAAGGAGTATTTGGCCCTCTTATGGAGGTCATTATACATGGTATCAAATGTTGTATCAGTTGAAGCCCACTGTTGCGGGTACCGATATCAAAATTAAGCATCTATAACGACCAGAGAGGTACAACAGCTATAACCACTCTTGTTTGAACATCTAATATTGCTTTAGTGAATTATACAATAACCATCTAATTGTCCACAGGTGGGTCCATCTGCAAAATTCTATACTGGATGATCAGGGCCCATCGGTCTCAAGCTAAGGGGATATATTAGTGAGAAGTATCTTTGACTATATGATATTATACGATGCCTGTGAAGAGATAAGACAATTGCCAGTGTTCAATGATAGACTAATTTGCTTTCGTTCAGTGAACAGCCCTCGCAATTTCTTTGAGGCTTATTTTCTTTACTTCTCATATTTCAGCCTAATAGCAACATGTATGGAATGTAAAATAATGACCGGACATTTCAACGTGTGACTCAGGTTGGATATACGCCCACTGAAGCTTGTGTAAATGAAGATGACCTTTCCAAAACGCCTGCTAAAGTTTTCGAGGAATTCAGTATCGTCGCAATTTCTTCAGCGGACATGTCCTCCGAAATGAAGTCGATGTGTCTGTTCAGGCATGCAGCATCCTCATCACGGCCGAGAGCTTCCCAGCTGGCAACCAATGCATTCAGCAGAAGTGGTAGCGAGTCAAAACTATTCCCTAATTTTCGAAGGCAGATCTCAAGAATTTCTTGCTGTAAATCAGCAGCACCAAGCCAGTTCTCCTGCGAAACATATACCAGTGACAGTCCGAACAGTGTTAGAAGAGTTTGAGGATCCTCTCTACCAAGAACTGCTTCCCATGATCTGGAGAGTTGAGATAGCATCGAGCATAGTGATTCATCACTGACCATACCATCTTGCATTAAATAGAAATCTACAAGGCGTTGAAGACTTGTGAGTGTTTTTGGGTCTTCGCTTCCAAGACTCCGCTGGTGAACCTGGTACATGTGCTGATAGAGAGCCTCAGCCTCACAGAACTGGCCATTCTTCTCGTGACATATTGCCAGACCAAGTTGGGCATCGATCACAGCATCATGCTCCGGTCCGTGAAGTTGTCTCATTCGTTCGAGTGTTTTGGTTGTGATATCCCTAGCCCTCTCCTCTTGACCTTGTTTCAAATATATTACTCCAAGTTTATATGAAGAGACGAGGGCAAAATGAGCATCCGGGTCAAGATCTCGAATCAAGCTTTCGGCTAGAGATGCGGCGGCTTCTAGCTCGCCATTTTCTACTAGTAAGTCAACCAGTAGATCTGCGGTGTGCGCCGCTTCCGCATGGTCAAGTCCAAGAACCATTTTCTGCTTTTCGAAGACTTCTTTCATGAGCAACATCGCTTCCCAGGGCTGAACTTGGGTCTCCAATAGGCATGCAAAGTCCCTCATGCTTAAAAGTGTTCGCGGATCCTCTCGTCCAAATTGATCTTCTTGGCTTACAAGCACCTGTGCAAGAAGTGAAGCCGCTTCTTCATGTCGACCTTGGATTCGGTACAAGTTTGCCAAGTCCTTCATGTAATTACTCAAGTCTTGATGCCTATCTGTTTGGATCGTCTTGTGTGATTCTATGACTTCTTGAAGTAGTGTCTCCGCTTCGTCAAGACGATCTTGTTGTTCATAGAGTCTGGCTAGATCTGCCTTGATGGAGGTAATGGACCTTTCGTCGTCCGGAAGATCGCGCTCACACGTCTTCCATAGCTCTTTATATTCGGATTCAGATTCAGCCCACCGATGAGAGCCTTGGAAGCGATGTATCCGGGCGAGAAGCAGGCGAAATGAGATATAGATTTTGTAGCCTGTTTCCAGATGAAATTTAATACATGCTTCGATCGTTTGGAGACATCGCTCCTCGGCAGTTTTGAAGTCTTCGCACTTAATCAATGCTTTCACTTCGAAGGCGGAGGCAATTATTGTTTCTGGACATTCCCATCCGAGACTATCCTCGGCTTCCTTCCGTGAGATGGTGGTCATGCGTTTCGCTTCGTTCGGTTTGTCGCAGAAGAGCACGTAATCAGAGGCATGACGAACTAGTCTGGCCCATCTCAGTCGGTGATTTGGATCTGGACCGTGGGATAACGCCGACTGAACGTGGGGGAACAAGGCTCGAGATCTAGAGATATTTTCGAAATCGGTGAATCTCGGAAATTCCAGATACAGATTCCGGATAAATATCTCTTTCCAATGCTCGAGCCTTCCTTGCGTGTTGAGCCACTCCTGGATCGCAAGTTGCACAAGACCATGCATTCCAAAGGTAAGTGCCTCAGGATCAATGGAAATAAAAGAGTAGTCTTTGAGCGTAGAAACATTGCCCTCGAATTCTAACTGAGACAGAGTAAATGGAGCTACACCATCATTGCTCCCATTTGAATCTGCCGAGGCCTGTTTGTTTGCTTTCTCTCTCTGATAAACGGGTCCACATAGCGTATAGCTTTCGTCGATATCACTGTCACTTTCGATGTTATCATCATGGAATGATGCATGCAGTAGATAGTCTGGGATCCCTTGTCGGTCGAAAAAGCTCATCAAAGACAGAAGATTCATGGCCTGCGGATTCTCTTTTTCGATTGATTCGAAGGATATTTGCAGGGTTACTATGATGGAATTGTCGGCTTTCCCATCACGATGCAACAATCTTGTTTGTCGCCTCAAAAGATTCAATCTTGCTTCGTTGCTCTCTCGAAACATGTGGAGATATTGTGACACTGTACATCGAGGGAAGTGCCTTGCAATGAAAGTTGCTGCTTGGACGACAGCCAGTGCTATCCATTCAAGTTCCCGAGCAAGGCTTCTCAGGCTCATTTCATCCGTGACGACCTTATCCTGAAGTTTTCTTTGAAGCAAAGCAATTGCATGACTCTCAGAAGGCTTGACTGTTATAATATCGCATTCATTGACAAGGTTCAATGCAATGCGTTTGTTGCGAGTCGTGATTATGATGGACCCATTCGGAGTCCTTGGAAGAAATTCAAGGGCCGATTTCTCAGAAAACCCGCCTAAATTGTTTGGTGGCTCAGCTCGTTCATCATTACGGGCTGATTTCGAATTTTTGAAGACTGGTTTGTGAAGATATTCGTCATCGTCAACATTGTCAAGGATGAGAATCCATCGTTCTTCTTGTTGATCCTGGAACCAATTACCAACAAGCTGAAAGATATTGGCAGCTGGATCTCGACGACGTGGAATTTTAACAAGCTCCGCAATATCACGGAGGCCTTGTTCATATCGCACAATGTCGCTCGCGTGAACCCAGAAAACCCAAGTTCTAGGTGATTGCTCTCGAATCCAGTACGTGTATTCGATGGCGATGTGAGATTTGCTGCTAGTTGTTAAAACATTTGTACCTTCTGAGGCAGAACATGCTTACCCAACTCCGCCAAAGCCAATCAATGCCAGCCTGGCTGAAGGTCGAGTGCTTAATTTATGCACCCGGTCTACAAGGGATCCTGGGTCCACAAAGTCCGGATCGCGTCCATACGGAATCATGGCAATGGGCTGCGGTTTCTTTTCTGGGCCCTCGGCGGGCGGACTAATGTTCATAGATCGACCGTCCATTTCCCAAAAGGCCAGGGACCTGAAGCAGTCTTTTGACACGATCAGCAAGTGGATTTTCATACTCCACAACTAGTCTGACCTTGAACTGGTAGGACATTCGAGTCGACGGCCTTGTCGGAGAAGACAACTGCCCGTAGTTAGCAAAAGTAGGAGCAGTGTATGTCTTTTGTTGGCTCCTTTCACCTGTTCCATAATTCCTGACGTTGTACTGGCTCCCGGTAGAGTTGTTATTGTGTTGGGGCCCACCGCCGACGTTGGCGTTCTGCACCCCTTGATCGCGAGTGTCGAAGGTGAACGGTGGGTGTGTTTGGTGGCTCATTGCGGCTACAGATGTTGTCTGAGCTGCCGAAGCCACGGTATTACATCCAAATCCCAGGTAATTAATGCCCTTAGGGGTAGGCTTGACTAGAGTGAAAAGAGCGGATGGGGGTAAGCAAGGGCAGTGCACAGCCTATTTATAGCATGAGAAAACCTCGTTAATGGCTGGCAAGGTGATCAAAACACACGCTAACGTAACTCCCGGCCGCACCGGCCGCACCGGCCACCCAGTACACCGCCCAACGCGTTTCTACATGCAACCACTCTTTCTATCAAAGGCAGTGAATTAGCAATGAGTAGTACAATGATTCTAGGGCGGTGTGGTAGGGGTGGCCGGTGCGGCCGGGAGTTACGTTAATATATAGGTAATACAGGTCCTCGTCTCCGCACATGGATTCCCAACTGCGATTGGGTGGTAAATTGATAAGGAGTACTGAGTATACGAATGAGAGTTGACACAATCGTGTGGTGTGGGGCAAGCCCATAGGACTACGAACTAGGCCATAATCCTGTCGCTTTGTTTGATTGGTTTTAGAAAATGGCTCCACCTCACCCAATAGTTACTTCTCCTTGTCACCCGAGAAACAGGATGAAGCTAAGCCAGGGACTAACAAGATTCAACCTTTTAAGCTTCCTCCATTGTCCCGGAATGGGTGGTCTATGTTCGAAGCTTTGGAAGGAATTTCTCTAACTCTCTCGGAAGAGATGAGTATAGTGTCATTTGGTGCAGCAGACGCACATGGAAGTGGCATGAGCAATAAAACCTATCAAAGCAATCTTGGCTAGATTCAACGTCGGTGTGTCCACAAGGGTAGCCGTTTACCTTTAGCGAGAGTTGCTTGAATGCGCTGGAGCAACTACAAGGCTGTGGACAGGCCCATTGAACTGATTTCCTTTCCCGTTATTGTTAACCTGAGTGCCTGTTCCAGTGTTTGCGTTGATCCAGCCTCGACCGGAGTTGTGGAACAGATAGGTTGAACCACTTCCTCTTACAGACGACTGGCTCTGAGTTCTCTCGGGTGCTGGAATATCTACCTCACTAGCGAGATTGGGGTTTGCACTTGCATCCGTCCTGGCGGCTGATGACTCCATACAACTGCTTCAAAAGTGCCTGTTAGTGGTTTTTTTCCAGATCAAAGCTTTTTTGCTCGCCGTGCGGCATACTTAATGCGCGATTCCCATCTCTGAATCTCACCAAGCAACCGCTTGTATCCATTCTCTTTCGGCGAGCCGAACTTTACCATATCTCTATGATTGGCGTGGAGACTGATCGAGCTATACCCATCAAGAGTAGCCGATTCCTTGCAGACTATCTTTCCCACCACTGGCAGGGGTAGCTCTTCGAAAAAGGAAGTCACTTCAAGACCCCTGCCGTCTTCGCGCAATTTGCGTACCATTGCTAAGAAGTCAACCTGCAGAGACTCAAGCATCTGGTTATTTGTTCCTAAAACAGCTAGCAGGGACTTGTTGGTCGACTTCACCAACCCTAAAGCTGAAGCGGATATTCTGGCCCAGTCCGCCATCCAAGCACCTTTGTGAGGCGTCCCCATAAATATGATACCCCGCGTGGAATTAAAAATGCCCCGAAGATGGCGCTCAGGGTCATTTCGGGAAAGGAGAATAGCTTTCTTGCAGACAAGACCTCCTAGGCTATGAGCGACGAATATTAGCGGTCGCGACGACGCATCACAAGAAGCTCTGTCAGCTGTCAAGTCATGAAGAAGATTCGTAGCATGATCAATCAACCGATTCGATGAGGCGGCAGATTTTCGGACAATATAGGCGTCATAGCCATAGGTCAATATTCGAGCTCGCCTAATGTGGGAAGGGAGTAGCGTTTGCGGCCAGGGAGCCGACTGGTGATCCGCTGTCCAGGTGGTGCGGCGATCTCCGGTTAGGCCGTGGACAAAGCAAATATCGTAGTCCGCATTGGGACAGTCATGTAAGACTTCAACGCCGTCCGGAAACAGAGAGGTCGAGAAGGGATCTAGCGATGTTGCATCTAAACCAACCTCGGTATACTCTCTTGAATCGGTAGTAACGAGGTTGCCCGATGTTGGTTCAGACTGCAAGACCACGTGGGCTGGTTTCCACCGTGCTAAAAGGGCTCTGAATTTGTGCATCGTGCGGCCCGAAGCTGAAATGGTTTGGAGATTGCCTAGTTAGACGACAGGGTATTTGTGCCCAACCTGGCGGATTCTAGAATATCCAAAGCTCAAATCTGTTGCTGTAGTATTCAGTTGACTGGAAATGCAATCGGACTGAGAAGTTCTGGGGCCTTAAAAGGGCGGGGCAGCCTTTTAGAATGTTTGCAAAACCACAAACGCATCGTCGTACAGGGAACAGAGTCCCAACCAGAAGCAAGCAGTGACCTTTTCCGTACTTAAAATTTCTAAGTAAAGTAGTATAACAGTGATACATTTATACAATCGTCGCAGAATTAAATGGGTCAGTCTTATTTGTCTCTGGTGTAGCGAAAGAGTGCTGTTAGGCAGCAAGACAGGCCACTCAACAATAACAACCGTGACAGCTGAACACGTATAGGCTTATGCCTAAGAGCGGGGGCCTCGGGTGCTAATAGCCCGTCAAATCACCACGCTTCTTTCAGCTGACTCATATAACATCTGAACAAGTTAAGAATAGCCTGTGTATATCAACGTGTCCTTTCAAGTCAGAGTCTCGACCGGCCCAAATCAATAGCTCCAGAGTAAATTTACTCAGCTCTTTCGAGCTCTCTGTTCAGGGCACTTGGCGTTTCATATAATATTCAAATATCAACTCCGTTTCGTCATCTATGTTAATGTCCTTACGCCTCAATCGTTTATTCGGGGGGCGCATAAAATGTTGACTAGCGAAGTTGACATCAAACGCCTATTTAGTGGCACCATCTCCGCCCTCCAAGCAACACAGGAAAGCAGTGGTTCTCACACCTTGGAGAATCTTCCCTCTGTCTTTGGCAAAGTTGTTAAATGGATCCCAACTGCCCAGGAATTTTTCGAGTCTTGCAAAAAACATCTTAGCCCTGCCGCGCTGGATAAAGGATCCCTCGAAGACCTGGGTACTGCTCTGGAGGTTTGCAAGGGGAAAGCCATCCGACTAGATGAGATCTTCTACCTGGTGATCAGAAGTTCCGATACAAGTGAAGAGTACCAGAGGGTCGCCAAGGAAGATCGGTTAGAAGATCTGATGAAGGCAATCTTCGAGCATATGATTCAACTGGCGAAGAACCCGCCTTTTTCAGAGGTGGTGGGGTCGGAGGTTGACCGTCTGGAGGAAGGATTGCGTGTGCTCATGGCGATACCCGCCTCATTGCCAGGAAAGAGATCATCGTATTCATTCCACAACTCTGGTGACGGCTGGATTAATGTGAACACGGGCACCGCTCCTCAAAACAACAATAACAGCTCGGGCTACCAATTCAACGGGCTAATCCATCAACTCCAGTTTCCAAAGTGAATGTTTGGATTAGTCATTCCAAGAAAACATGTACTTGGGCCTGGACCGTAAATCACTTAGAACCAACTGCGAATCCGTCCATAGTTAGAAAGCGCCAATATCAAATGGTTGACTCTAGTGCCTCAATGGACATGACTGCTTACTTTACCCTCCCTTTCTCTACATCTTGTTGGATTTACTGGCCTCCAAATGCTCGGATAGCTCTATGTGGCTGTACTAATAATTAACATGAGCTTTGTTCCCATATCAAATTGCCACCAGCTACGTGCATTGCGTTCAAAAGCCACGAGACAGGAGAATTTACTTAGCAATAAATCTTGGAGCCCCTTCGGTGATCGAGACTTTGTTTAAGTGGATTGCTGAAAAGAAAGAAAAGAAATTAAAACGTCAAACGCCTGATCCTGTGACTTTGGAGTCAATATCTTTTTAATTGCGGTCTACCGCCTAAGTGTATTGCAGCTGAATGGAACATGAAAAGTCCGGTAAGTTCAGCAAGCATGTGGCCAAACATTATGGAGACATTCATAGCGAGTGAGCTCCATGGATTGAGAGAATAGAAAGGCGTTCAGTCAGGGTGTTAGGGCGGCAAGGGCCCCTTCCGCGACGAATCAAAATGAACAGGTTGTGAAAACGTACAACATCTGAGCTCAGGTGGCGGTCACAGTGTGAATTCCCAGACAACAAGGCCCGGAGAAGTAGCGACTTGTTGAACTTCTCTCCAAGGCGATCGTGCAGTGTCTGAGAATCCTTCAAAGAATTACGTCCTCATGCAATGTCGGGAAGATCGATGGTACCAACGCGATTATCTCCAGCGGGCGATTAAAGATCCGTAAGGTTCTCATGAACTCTACAATAATATCCTCCCTTAATCCAACTCGCTTCCCCTATCCAACTCACGTATGAACCTTTAGAGTTCAAGAATACCCGCGTTACCGAACATCGGAAAATCCAGAGTATATGGGCCCCATTGAAGACTGTCTGGGATATGGAGCTTCTTCTGCCGCTTTCTGTGTGCGTCCCTCCATTCTTTTCGTTGTTGACGTTTCTTGTCTGGCATGTGCTGGTTTAAGTATCACTTCCCTGATGAAGACTCTATAGGGAGGAAACTTTCCTTGGGAGGAAGAGGGCTTCTTTTGGAAGGGAACTTCCCACAGAAGGGGGGAAGTTCCCTTCCCAGAGGACAAAAGGGACTTCTCAAAGGACAAGGGGAACTTCCCACGGGAGGAGGGGAACTTTTCTCGAGGGAAAAGGAACTTCATCCCTGTCAGTCAAGCCACCAGTGAATGAACGAGAGCTATCTGCTCCTGCTTTAGTGCTTACAGCAAATCAATACTGCTCATCCATCCGTGCGCATGGCCAGCGTTAGACTTTGATCATCTGCAGGTATGGTCTGCGGAGCCTACAGGTACCTCGACGATCATCATGGCAACAGAAGAGCTCACCATGCTGACCTGGAGGCCAGTCAGAATCGAAGCCGAACCTGACGTCACTGTATATGTTCAGAGGAGAGTGAGATTGATCGCGTGTAGCACTCTGCTCCGCCATCACGACTGCGCTGGTCGCCCAGTGTGCGCCGCGATGATCGTCTCGTTCGGTCGCCAAACGTATTGAAAATGAATTAGATCGCGAAGGAAGCCCGTCAATGTTGACAGCTGATTGATCTGCGCCCACGTAACGTTCCCGGTCAATATCGGAGACTCCCTGACTCTCGGTCGCGTGACCATCCTGTACAGGATATGTGAAGGCTTCGCCTGCGGCCTCGAGTGAGCCTCCGTCATGTGGTACGACACCAGCGTTCGAGCTGCATGCGTCACAGCACCCTCGGTAAACTTTCATTGCAGAAGGGGACACACAGAGCGATGTCTGGCATCAGACATGGCTTCGCTCAGCTTAGGCAGTGGCTCGAAGACTATCGGCGGACCCAAACTGGGCCTCAGGACGCGTGTCATCCATCGCGACCTCATTCTGCCAGCCTCTTATGTCCCGAGCCAAGCCCACGCAAGAAACCCATACGATCTGTGCCAAGTTTCGCCCTCTGCCAATCTATCCCGGAAACGTCGCTAACGATGACTGTGATGTAGGATGTCGGGGCAAGCCGTCTGCACAATTTCGCGACCGCATCGAATTCTGCCGTTCCCCTGTTCAGCTGAAGAGAAACAATGTCAATTGGCTAACAGTTCGAGGAGCGACATAAAACGGCCACGACTCACTACAGTAAAAGATGGTGGCGAAGTACACAGGACGGAGACGCCGGCCCAATAGCAAACATGGCTCAAGTTTGTTTCAGTCGGGTGTCAAAGGATAGGACAGCAACGAGGAGAAGCAGGCGGGCGAGAAGGCCATCGACCACGCACCGCGATGCCAGACTTTCCCCGATTAGATTAGGCCCGCTTACCGGACAGTGATGAAAAGTGTCATGGACCCATCGCCACCCTCACCATGGAACAGACAACGATCTTGCGGAATTTGCCGCGGGCCGATATGAGAAAGGTCACAAAAGCTAGGCTTGAGCGGCAGTACTACTAGGACCCCGATTGGCGCAAAGAGAGAACAGAAATAAAAAGAAATGAAGAATACATACAACAGAAGGGATTCGCTGGTGGTCACCCACCCAACTACTAACCTCCCGGCGTGTGGCTTAAGTACGGCTGAGCGGACGGGAAGCCCTGTTTTCCACACCCTATGGTCGTATGTACTAGGTCTCAGTTTCTTAGAATACATATTAGAAGAGTAGTGACTCTGTTGGTCAGGGTGTATAAGGGACTTAAGTATTAATATACAAGTGTTATTGCACTAAGCATGGGAAAGGATGGTTATAGAGTCATCCTTCTCGGAACTGATAATATAAATAAGATCTTATCATGCTGGTAATAATTACAGCCTGAGGCTTGAATAGGATTCACTCTTCTGCTAGTAGTATAGGACTTAAAGATGATAGATCATGGTCTGAGAAACATCAGATCAATGACTGGCTTGGTGTTCAGCAAACTGGCAGCAATGAAACATATGCTGGTAAACCTTAACCCTCAGTGGACCACACAATAGGGTACAGGTTGTCTGTATTGTCCTAGCTCCGGAGCCCAAACGATTCACCAGCTCTTCCGAAGCCTATTCACTACAACTGGTGGAGCAGTAATCTTTTTGAAAAAACATAAACCGAACATTGCCTTATGTTCATTGCTACAGATGTATGAGTAGCTGTGCAATGCAAAATACATGTCCCAAAAATTGTACCTTCCCATCTATCCGGGAGGCCGTCACTGCAAAGGGCCGGGACAGAAATCAATCCAGAGGGCTATGATTAACCATACTTGATTCGAATCTTGCTCCTCTGAGCAGCTTCTGTGCAGGGGCCCTGAGGGCTTTGGTAATTCGTCTCAAATATCCCTCACTTTTAATGTTCTTCCAAGCACTAGTCACCTGTTCATTAATGCCCTTTGTCTTGTCTGCCCACGCAGCACTAGCACCTGCAGAAAGGACACCAAGCACAGCACCCGTGATCATTGCTGAGACCAGGCCGTCAGACCATCGAACATTCTTCTGCCCCCAGACATGTTGGTCTACAAGATTGTTGGCGATCTGTGAGCCACAGCTAGTCACGACACCGACAAGCGCCCTGCCCCCAAATAGAGGCAGGCGCGAGTACACGCACTTTCCGCTACCCCTGGTAGAAGTTTAGAGCCGACGCTGGCAAAGCCACTCACTGCGCAGGGTATTGGATACGCAGTCGCGCCTGTCACAGCACATACGGTAGCTCCGACTGAAGTGTGAGTGGCGAAGTGATCCAAGCGGAAGGAGTTAGACTCGGAGTCCTCACGGTGGCCCCAGGAATATTCCAAAGCGGATCCACCGGCACCCAGTGCGGCCCCAGTGATGATGTTGTGCGAAAATATAGAGGGTACTACACTGTTGTGTATCAAGGATCCCTTCTTGCATCTTCGGAAAACTTACGCTGCAGGTAGACTGACTGGTAACGTGGCGAGAGCGACAAGACCACCAATGACTAGCGCAGCTCCGATACCTAAGCCCGTCCAAACCTTCCAACTCCAATGCCCGGTTGGATCAATGTGGTTGATGGGACCGTTATTCTCAATCGCGTACCAGTTCATACCGTCTGGGAGGGACAGCGACTTCTCGTCGAGGGTATCGTCCGGCGTAGCAAATCGTCCGAGAAGAGTGTCATACCATCGTGCATCAAAGTCCAACAACCCCGTCTGAGCCTCGATCGTCTTGCCTTCGTATGCTGACAATTCAGTTTCTTGGCTGCTGAGCATGGCTTGGCCAAAGGGAGAGTAATCGGATCTATATTTCAGAGCTCCGTTCCCGCGAAAGACGCGCGTGATGTTTCCCTTGGTGTTTGTATGGAACCATTCCACCGTGTGATAGGAATATGATGGCTCTTCCGCCCCCTCGACCCCTTCCGCTGGATCGCTCCAAAGTACGCCTACTATACGATCAGCACCGTAGAATTTACGCCTGATCCGACAACGAGGCATCTGCGTTAACCGAGATCTCAAAACCCTGGCTGATATGTAGCTGCTGGGATCCGTCTGGAAGGATCTTTGCGACGACGTTGCCTTCGTCGTCGTAGAAAGTCATAGTGCGTTGCCCCGTGGCGGTATTGCTTACATGGCTCATATGACCGAAGTCATCGTAATAGAATGCAAACGATTCACCATTGACTGTGCGCCGCACCATTCGCCCTGCAGCATCATACTGGACTCTCGCAATCTTACCGTCTTGAGCAGTGACCAGGACATTACCCAGGAGATATTGGAATTCCATATCCCTCTTCTGCATTATATTGCCCGACGCATCAGAGGTATAGCTCGCTCCAAGATCTTCATTAGTCTTCACGGATGATAACCTCCCGGCCTGGTAGGTGTATTTCGTGAGATCATCAGAAAGGGTATCACAGGTGCTTGAGAGTCGATCAAGATTGTTGAATTTATATTCTTCGTTTAATAGAGCTGCTGTTGTATCCACCTAGTGCGAAAGAGGAAACCCTTGCGCGTCGTATGTCATAACATTGTGCAAGTTGACAGTGGAGATGCTGTTGGATGAAAGAGTCCATTTCTCTGGGCGTTCGAAAGAATTGTATTGCTTATAGGTTACCTCCATTTGCCAATCGTCCACATGAAGGTCCGACTCTGAGAGCAAGGCACCGGAATATTTTTCCAAGACCTTTGATCCGTCTAGGAGGGTTTTGGCGACGATCTGGTCTTGATAATCGTACGCGTATACAGTGCGGTAGGGATGGTGGAATGGCAAATGCACAGTTTTGGCCAGGATACGACCTCATTCGTCATATTCGAACTCGTTATGGCTTTCAAACCCATCAGTCTCTCCGTTGCGCTGGATCGTGATGGCTTGAATAGCATCAAACCGGAACTGTTCCATTCATAAATGACGCGCCTGTCGTGTCCCATTATCTGTCTCACTCGACCCTTGCAGTCGTAGGAGTACTCAAGCTTTTCTCCAACAGCGTTGATCTTTTCCATAATATTGCCGTTGAGATCATGTTGCCTTGTCTCCGTGCCTCTGTATGGGTCGCATGTCTTTTCGAGGTTACCCAGCGAACCGTAAACCCTCGACTCGATCTTTCCTGCCGGATCAGTTATGCGAGTCAGATGGCCCAATGGATCAAAGTTGTAGGTTGTTCTGGATCCATTCTCATCCACCATGGCCACCATTTTTTCTTTCCCATTTATTCGAGCGTAATGCTTCTCGGTTTTGGAGAACGTAGCTCCAGATGAGTCTGTAAACGTTATTTGAACAGTCTTCCCTCCCTCAAGATACGAAAGGCGTGTATCAATGACCCTATCCTGCCCTTGATGACTTGGGCGCGTCTGAGATGATGTGTGGCGCTTCAGTGCATCGAAGGTGGTCGTGACGCACGTGCTCCTATCCGGCATCCACTCCAAACCCGCGGCGATGCTATCTTGGCACCCGGGCAATTTGGTGGCAAAGCTTTGAAGCACATTACAACCCCGTGAGTCGTACTCCGAGTAAACCCAGCTACGCGGCATGCAGCCATGCGTCTTTGCCGTTTTGCGAACCATACCCCTACAATCGATGAAGTTTAAGCTCTCAACTCGGCCATCAGGCCCGGGGTTGTGCGAGGAAATCGTACTGGCAAGAATATATGCTCCATTGGAGTCGGAGTGAAACTTCACTGACACGTCTGTATATGGCGATACTGAAGTTGTGGAAAGACGTTCGGCCAATGTTTGACTCCGAACAAGGTCCTGGGATGACAATAATTGCATGGCCTTGTTGTCTTCTTCACAGGGTTCTGTTTCTGTAATCCTAGTGGACATGGTGCGGCCCTACGAATCGACCAAAGAACACGTCAAGGAGCCGTCCGGTTTCAAAGTAGCAATTTGCGCGCCCGTATTACAGTCATATGCAGATTGCGATGGAAGGCGAACATCCTGGCCACACTCGGAAATAGCGATGGGATAGATATGGAATCTGCTGTCGAAATTGGTGCAAGTCTCTAGCCCCAGTGCACTAATAATCTTGACTTCATTGCCGTACTCATCGAACTCGAAAAATTGGGAGGTAAACTGATTCACCGATGATGACCATTCAGAGATCTTGGTGAGAATCCCACTATTGGCATCGTAACATGCGCGTGTCATGCTAATATCACCCTTTTCGAACCCTTCAAAGTCATGGTTCTCGCGTATCAAGGTAACCTTTTTGCACGCCCGTAATGGGACCAAGTTTTGGAACTTCTGGTAGGAGAATTTTGTCCAGTATTTAGAGCTATCTGAGTTGCGAACCTCTTCCTCGATTACATTGCTTTCCTCATCGTAGGAGTAACGAGTCCCGGATTGCCCGTCTATTATACCATCGCTTAGATAGTTGCGGAGGTCTGCGGTTCGGTGAATCTTGAAGATTTTCCAGGACCCCTGTTCCGTAGACACGGTGTCGTACTCGAAGGTTTGTTTGGACAATGACCTGCTCTCAGAGAGCCTCCCGTCACCGATGTAAATGCTCTCTGCGCATCCAGTCAGGGGCCATTTTTTCAAGAATGATTCCGAGGTGGTGGAATTGGAAATCTGATCGTAGGTCTGCACTTGCTTGAATCCTTGCCAACCCCGTCCTCGCCTATTTACCAAGGCACCACTGTACATCTTCAGAATAGAATTTGAGTAGAGGAGTCGGTTGATGCAGGAATCATCGTCATGGTAAGTCGAGAAACCACGTATCTGCGTGCTGAAATCACAGGGTAATGATTGTCGACCGGCTGAATAATGTGACGTGCATTCCATGCGACAGCTGAGGTATATACGAGTGGACTGCTGATTGGCTCATATTCAACTTCTGACCGGAGTCCCATCGAGTCTCGCACGGAAGCGAGACGACCAGTAGGTTTGGCGGTGTTGTAAATCGGATAGACACTCACACCATCTTTGCGTATGGAATACGAGCCAGTCGCTGAGACTCGTCCCAATAAGGTCGGCTGGTACCAGCGAGACTTCCTCGGATGGAAGATCCTTGGGTTGGGCAATTCGGAACGACTGGTATTCGTGGACGGGACCCGTCGAGAACCACGTAAAAACAATCGCCACATAACCTTGGGACTCGAGCTCCTGGTAGACGTAGACGAGAGACGGCTCGTTCGTACCATAGAGTTTCGGGACACCCGAAAAGGGCCTCGGTTAGCGGGGCGGCCTGCTACGGACTTGACATGGTAGAATGTTTTCCTGTCGCCAAACCTGCCAACGCCGCCGCTTGGAAAAGTGTCTATCATAGAATTAATTTTGGTGCCTGGTCCATCAGAGGTGTGATTTGCTACGCAGGTGACAAGACCCTGGAAACCAATGTCAAAGCTATGGACTGAGTGTTTAACCTGGGTGACCCTAGCGATGCCCTCTAGGCCCCGAATGGGGATTAGGCGACCAGGGCTGTCAGACGTGGCATACCCTCCACGGGGAAAGGCAAAGGTAGATGTAAAGCAATAGCTATCTGGATTACCAGTGTCATCATGGGTGCGCACGAGGGTATTTCCCAAATGAATCCAGTTCAATGTGCCGGAAAAGCGTTCGTTTGTTTGAAACAATCTTCCTTCGTCCAAGGTAATCTCCCCATTCTGGCTCACAGCAGAGAAGACACGAAACGCGACCGTCCCTTGATGGGGAAAAATCTGGATTATGTCCGAAAGACCATTGCCACTCAGGTCATTTTTTTATCGCGTAGTTCGAGTTAAATTTAAGTCTTTTAGTCAGTTTGAAAATAGTCATATAATTAGTTGGTTTGAAGATGCTCTGGTACACTATGGGGTTCCCACGGTAGTCTTCGATTTATATATCCTTGTCTAAGACATTGATACCGCTGCCGACGCCCTTATTAAAGCTGGATGGATTGTTGATACCCAAAACCCTCATCGGATTGGGGATTCAGTCGTGGCAATTCCGCAAACACCGCTGATCTCCCCCGACCAGAAGACAAAGACGGTCCTTCTACTCGCTTCAGACTGGAGGTTCCCTCTCGCGGCTGACCCACCTCTCGAGAGGGTTCCTGTGAACGACCGTTCCCCCTTAAAGCTGTCGTTCCCCCTATTATCAGGCTTACTCGATGCCCTGATTGAAAGCTGGTTGGTTGGTCCCACTGAGGACGCCACATTATTGGTTCGCCTGGCATGTTATTTTAACTATCTGTACGGATACGTGCCGGCAGTTAAAGAGCGATCGTTTGCCGACCAGATGAAATATGAGCATCGCCAGTTCCATTTCGATGTGCTTGCTGGGATGGCTTCATCAACTTTCCCTTTTAGAAACCACCAACGTGGCATTAGAGATGCGCTTTTACAGGGTCGGCATGCGTTACAGGAATGCTCGGCGTCCCGCGATGATGAAGCCCTCTTTGGTGGCTGGGGTAAGATCCGCCTTCCAGACCCAGTCAACGATGAATTAGTGGAGTAGCTGTGCTGTTTCAATGAAGAGAGTCTGCGCCAGGTTTATGGTATGGCTAGAATCTGAGGCAAGAAGGACTATGGATCAGATACGGCCGAACAGTCTTAAGATTGAAGGTCTTACGGATATTCTGACCGCAGTAATTGAAGAGTGAGTGAGGAATTGCATAGTATCGTTTGAATGTATGGTTATTCGAGTCACTAAAACAAAGACAAAAATAGCAAAAATAGATACATTAAGTAACGAATGTCCTTGAAATATCCATCCTTCCCTTTGTCCTAGCATACTCGAAATGTGCATCAAAATACAGGAAAGCTATAACGGAACAAGCCGAACGATAGCAAGGTGAGAACTGGCTTCTGACTTCTGCGACACATCTCGCTGATGAGCCAAGTACGTATACGACAACGGAAGGGTTTGAAATGTGTCAACAACCTCAGGTACGGAAAGATACGTCCCTTGTCGAGCATCCCCTGCCTCTTAGCCAGGAAAGTGTTTAATTGTTGCCGTGGTAGCCCTACAGGATGTAGTCCCTCGTACTTCATATGCGCCATTGGAGGCTGCAAGGTGAACTTCTCCGGTATCGCTGGCCTCTTGGAGCTCTCTGGAAATATATCACCTGGGTCCTCTTCTTTGTCAAGCGCACCCGGCATGGTACCGTCGCGTAAGATGGGGTATACGCTTTTGGAATAGGGTCTGACTATTTGATCCTCGTGGGTCGTATCCAAGACGGGCTTGGGGTCCGCGCCATGACTGATGACAAGGTCCGCCATGTTTTGGGTCTCGGGCTCCTTTGCATCCGAGCTAACGTAAGATAAAGGCGTCTTGAACCGATGGGCGTGGCTGGTGACGTTGGCCGCGACGACATCATACAAGCCGGCTACACCTTGGTTCGCCTTGCAACCAACCCAGGATTTGCTGATCCAAAGAGTTGATACTTTGTGGAAGTAGGCTGCCGTCTTGCCTGTCCTCTTCTAAATTTTTAGACCTTATTAAACTCTTCCCTTAACCCCTCAAAAATAAGATTTGGACTATATCTAATATCTGGATTGATTATACTATAAGTAATAATCTTAGTAATAGCTTACAGGAGTACAGACAGCTTTTCTAATAAAACTTTTACTGAATAATACTTGCTTTAATAAATAATTAATTAGAATATATACTGATATTACAGTTAAGTTATTACAGAATTCCAAATATTATCATTACATCAGGCTTGGATATTTATCTTATTAATAAAAATATAAGAGTAACATAAACTAGATATAATACTTTATTTATTCAATAGTCAAAGCTAGATAAATGTAATTTATCTAGAGAGATAGAAGAATAAATATAGATAATTATCTAGAAGGATACAGTCATTACTTACAGTATAATATATAGAAGTCTTATAGAATATTTATAATTCCTGGAGACATATCTTTATACTAGCAGAATATATTTCTCTTATCATAACATTCAAGCTGATCGTAGATATTAGAAAGCCTATCCTGTATTTTATTCAATTGAACAGTAGGTCTAAGTATGACTTTCAAACAGTAAACATTTGTGTCAGCAAGGGAAAAAAAGCTTGGTCAGTATAGGAAAAGAATTCCGACTAAGGGTTTCATGCGTTCCTTCAGCGGTGCGTGTGTGAAGCAGGTGCGAAAAAAGATAGCGCCGAAGGCCATCTCCGACATTCAGGCATTCCCATAGAGAAGATATGATTTGCTATCATGTTTACGATCGTTGTGTCTGCATTATTCCCTTTACACCTTATTATTACATTGTGCCAGTTCGGTTTGCTCGTGCTAGTGGCATATAACTCAGTAATACTTTGTGTTGGGCGAAAGGCTCTGTCACTTGTCATCAATCTGATGTTTCATTTTGTCGGCTACTATTATCAGGATCGAGTTAAAGGAGGTTATGCAAACCAGAAGATTTTCAAAAGTTTCGAGGAGTTCGATTTCATAATCGCAACATACCTTCTCGCGAGAGTCCATGCTGCTAAATATTGCAGCAACATCAAAATTCACCCAAACTATCCTTCTGCCAGCTGCCACAAGCATATTCTTTGGGTAAATACAGTGCCGCTATAGGGCCGATCATTTTCACTCGTCCAACCTCGCAAATGCAGTCTCCTAGCCACTTATAAAATAACTAGAGATATTGATACCTGATAACATAGGGTGATTGTTCATATATCCTGTTGGAACAACATTTTAGGTCAATATTGAAATTGTAGGAAACGCTTGATTCTTCCTGTCTGGATAACTTAGAGAAGCAGTTAAAATACCAGTCTTCAGGATTGCATGTCTATGGTTATTGAATGATCTACTGAGATTACGTTCCAACATATTCTATAGCAACTGACTCGATGTATTGATGGTGACATAAGGTTGTTGCCTTCAGAGACGGAAGCTACAAATCCAGATAAGGCGCCTCCGTCGGGATACTGTATTAGGGAACCTTCCCGCCATGAGGGTGGGGTATTCATATTACAAATCTCCTCCCGAACAGTTAACTATAAAGCAGTTCGTTTTGCGTTTGTCTCAATGTACTATTTTGACTTTACAAGAAGAACCGATATCCAAGCTAATAGAACGAAACAGATTCTGAATCTCATTTAAAATTGTTCGCTTCTGTTCTTCCCTATGACCAATCATTCTAACGTTCAACCGAAAATGAAGCAGTGGGTGCTGAGCGGAACTTGCGGGACGGATTCCTTACAGCTCCAAGATGTTCCGATTCCCGAGCCAAGTGATTACGAGGTTCTAGTAAAGTTCCACGCAGCTTCACTCAATTATAGAGACATCATGATTGCAAATGTGAGATCGCATCTTTCTTTCAATATTATGGGTATATCGAGAATCGAAGCATCGAAATAACACCGAAAGGCAGGGACAATATTATGTCAAAACCAAGGATGGAGTGATTCCTGGGTGAGTATGGGAGCTTTGTACATTTATGGTTCGGATTAAGTGAGTACTGACTGGTGATAAAGCTCTGATGCTGCGGGTGAAATTGTCGGAGTTGGCCCAAAGGTGACCAGATTTACTACTGGACAACGGGTTTCACCTATCTTTCATTTGACACACCTCTATGGTTCTGTGAAGGATTCAGACACTCAAAATCAGCTGGGCGGAACCTACGACGGGGTCTTTCGCGAGTACGCTGTCTTCAATGAGCATGGTTGCGTGGAGATTCCATCCACCTTGTCTTACCTTGAAGCTGCAACTCTACCTTGTGCTGCACTCACAGCGTGGAATGCGCTATATGGCGGTCCTAGAAAGCTGAAGCCGGGTGATGTGGTTCTGACGCAAGGCAGCGGCGGTGTTAGCATATTTGCTCTCCAATTCGCAAAGCTTGGGGGCGCACAAGTCATCTCGACAACTAGCAGTGTGGAGAAGGGTGCAAAGCTGCGAGAATTAGGCGCAGATGTGATAATAAATTATGCCGAGGATAGCGAATGGGGCCAGACGGCCAAACGCCAATCGTACCGAAAGAGAGGAGCTGATTTTGTGGTCGAGATTGCCAATACTATGGCCAAATCTTCTCAAGCAGTTGCTAACGATGGATGCATTGCAACCATTGGAAGAAGAGGAGGATCTGAAGGGGGGCCGGGCACCTCTCATAGCTCCGTGCTAGCGACTGTTCGAAGAATTCTGGTGGGCAGTAGACAGCTTCAAGAGGATATGAATGCTGCCATTGAAATAAGCCACCTTAAGCCACAGATTGATGGTCGTTCATTCAAGTTCTATGAACTTAAGCAGGCATTTGATTATTTTCAGAAGGGAAGCCACTTTGGTAAGGTGGTCGTGGACTTCGACTGACTGGCGATCGTTTGAGTGACAATACAAGACATTCAGATTCTAAGGTTGTCCAGAGCTCAGACGCCTCTAGAAAAAAAGAAGTGAAATAATTATTACAACACTTCAATATTCTGTATCGTGTGATCAAATTTCTGGACAAACGTAGGCTATAAGGGGTTAGCCAGGAATGCCCAACACAAAATACAGACCGCGATATGTGGTAATGAGTACTGATCACGAAACGAAACTCACTGACAAGGCCTTGCCTGCCATCCTGACCTTGAATGCAAAATCAGGGCAATGTAGACCATCAGTAGTGGGGCACGTAAGGAATGCAAGAGAAACGTTGGCAGATCGCTGGCAGTCGTTATTGTGCTTGGTTTGCATCAAGCCTTCTACTAAAGTTGTCTAGGTCCAGGTTCCTAACCTAGTAGTTTATACACTTAGGTGAAAAATGGGTGTTCTTACTAAATCGTCATTCGATCATCCAAATCAGTTGTTGAGTAATGTGAGTGGGTTTTGAAATTATACGCCTATGTATACCTATATGAAAAGCAATAACAATCACCACTGTAATAATTTGAAACTCTGAGGTAGTATAGGAAATTGATCAGCTGTATTACTTGTGCCGGTTAGGCTTTCTTACCAAGTCTTAGAACATGAAAAGAGTAGATAATACTATAATATTCAGTATATAATATTCATTCTATCAATTGGATACAGATATCATCTCCAGCTTAGTTAATATAGTTCGTAGTAGGTATTATTAGGGATTATACTAGAAATAATGATACTTACTTAGAAAAAAAAAAAAAAAAAAAAAAAAAGAAAACAGTAACAGAAAGATAACATGCAATAATATATACTTGCTTAGTAGTATGGGAAAATCGAGAGGTATCTAGATCATACAACTCTATGAATTCCGGGTAGAAAAATTGAGTGTTCAGGTAGAGAAAACTATAAGAAAAAATATAATAAAAAGCAAGTAGTAAGTATACTAAACTTTAATAAAATCCTAAAACATAGGTGAATACTGATACATAGTAGAAAAGATTGGCTAGTAATTGTTTACCGAACTATTAACCTCCCAGCGTGTGGCTGAAGTACGGCTGAGCGGACTGAAAGCCCTGTTTCCCACACCGCGTGGTCGTATGTACCAGTTTATGTTCATTATAAGATATATATAGTAACAGCCTGGAATCGTTCTTCATCAGGTATTGGGGGGACTGAAACATTGAATAGGTGTCGATCTGATTGCGTTAAGCATGAGACATTGCGGTCGTAGAGTTATCCTTCCCAGAATCGCATTCCATAGTCAAATGAACAAGCGAGATCTCATCATGCTGGCGATGACTGCGGCCTGAGGTCTGAATGGGAGACAATCTTCCGCTAGTGGTATGGGACTTGGCGGTGGTTGAGAACAGTCTTGGGAAGATCAGATCGATGACTGGCTTGGTGCTCGGCAAACTGGCGGCAATGATGGAGATAGCCACTTCGATACCCGACGACACGGACACGCCGAATGTGCTCCAGCTTGGATCGGTGCTCTCATAAAGCTTGATGATGTACACCATTCGAACAATGCTGGCAATGCAGGCACTTCGGGGCAACCTGTTAGTCGCATATGTTCTATAACTCGCTCCAGGGGTACCCTTACAACGTTCCCAAGGATAATAGCCCGATGACGACCGCGCGTTTCATCTGCCCGATTTGTAGGCCTACTCTCGTAAGTATCTGCTGTACGGCCCTCTCAAGCCAGGAGCCCCCTCTCAGGTGTACGAACGCACCTAAAATTGTCCGAATTGGTAAAACTAGGATCCACAAATCCGTCACCAGTGATAGTGCGGCTGTGGTATACCAAAATGGAATAGATGCGAAACACGTATAATGATCGTATTTTTGGGGGTTATAAGCCGCATCCACTGGAGAGCATTGGAAGATGGTGGCATGGATAATGGCGATGCTCATGGCGGCGATGAAAGTGATGGTGCCTAGAGTGATGTTGCGAAGATTCGGGAAGAGGCGCAGGTATAATAGGCAGATTGACGTCTTGATCAGGCCAGTAATGAGGGTGTATATTACGTGAGTGACGTAGCGAATCTACAGGCAATCATGCCGTTGGTCAGAAACTAGGCTGTCATTGGGAGGGGTGAAAATAGATCTGAGCAAGCGGACGCACCTTGGCTGCTGGTAACGCATCGGCCTTCGGGAGAATGCCATCATGTTTCCCTGTGCCATATTCGACTCCTAGCAAAGTATTCGACATCAGTTTCATACTAATATCTGGACTATATGTACGTACCAAGACCTGCAATGACAACATTCAAAATGGCCGTGACCGTGGCGAGCATCATTGTCCAGTCATCCAAGCCTAGCCGCTTTACAATCGCAGCTCGGGATACGAATCGCAGGACAACAATGGCCGCTGCGAACCCGGTCACGGTACCATTGATGATGACAATGAAGGGTCCACGGTCCTCACTCTAAGCCGGCAATCAGTAGGAGCACCGTGCACAAGCTTCAAGCACTTGCCTCCGAGCGTACTGGAAAGCTTTGCTGCATGGTGAGGCCGTAGAGCCCAGCACAAATGGGCTCATCGTGAGATGAGAACGAGACTTTATCGCTGGGCACACACTGCGCGCGGCCGAAAAAAAAGGGGCATGACTGTCTGATCCCACTAAACATCAAGTAGAAGCTGCCCTAGGGCCCTTGGCGACAGGGATATCCGATTGCTCTTTACCACCATAAAACTCGTCTTCTTGGCCAATGCCCAAAGAACTGTAATCAACGCTACTTAACTAGCGTTTTCCGTCCTAAAAGCTCAACATATAGGTTCGGGATTGGAATGTCCGTTTGAGGGCCCTGGCAGGACCCATGCCTATACCAGGCCAACGTTGTTTAAGCATTGGTCGATGTCACTGGCAAGCTCAGCCGATTAACGCCCGGTCCAATATATGTCAAACCGCTAACAAGGCCGGCGGCCGATTGGCTTCTTGATAGTCGACAACCGGTTGACTTGGCAGCCTAGCGTAGGGCTCAAATTTCCATCCGGGAACTAAACTTCGTCCGAGATTCCGGGCTATCCGTCCTTTAAGATCCCCTGAAATCGTAGACGGTCTTTCTTTTATCATATATCCGTTTTCATATTCCTGTCTTTACTTCTGCCCTTCATGCTGGGCATCAGATCTCTGTTACTTGGCGTGTTGTCGGCATGGGTGGTCGCAGGGCATAACCTTCGGGCGAACAACATCAGCACAGGCTACCGGATCGATGTTCACTCTCATGTCATTCCTCCGGTTTGGAGAGAGGCCCTGATTGCTGCTGGCTACCCTGTGAAAAATGGAACGGTGTATACTGACGGTTTCCCGGTGCCCGACTGGACGCTGGAATCACACCTGGCCACGATGGACACCTTGGGCATCAACTTTTCGACCATCAGCGTGAGTGCTCCTGGGGTCTACTTCCTCAATGATCCTAAGGAGGCACATGCGCTCGCCCGCACCGTTAATCTTGCCATGCATAATTACACCCAGGCTCATCCGACTCGACTGGGGGCGCTTTGTCTGTTGCCCCTTCCGCATGTAAGAAGAATCGGTAGCCGAACTGGCGGTAGGTTGATTACCCACCAGTGGTACAATCCTGGCTAATAGATCTGTTAGTTTTGCCTTGATACACTCAAGTTCCCTGGTGTGGGCACCAACGCCAACGGTACCTACCTTGGCAACTCGACTCTTGGTCCCGTCTTTTCGGTCTTGAATGAGCGACAGGCCACCGTATTTGTCCATCCGGCGGCTCCGGGATGTCAGTCCGTGAGCTTGGGCTACCCGTTCCCTTTGACGGAGTACCCATTCGACAGCGTGCGGGCGATGGAGAATCTGTTGTTGTCTGGCCAGCGCGCTAAGAACCCCGATGTCAAGATGATATTTGCCCACGGCGGGGGCGCAATGCCCTATCTGGCCAGCCGTATTGCCGGAATGGCGTCCATGTCGTTGCTGGGATCCCTAAATATGACTAAATCCCTGGCGTAGCTTGCAGGTTATTACTTTGACACGGCCTCTGCCACCTCAGCAATTCAACTCGCTGCCATGAAAAGCTTCATTGGGGTGGAACAGATTCTGACTGGAACCGATTGTGAGTCACCCTCTTTTTCCTGCAGTTTTGCGTCCAATAGATGAGGAATCTAATAAGGTCTCAGACCCGTATGTTCCCCTTTCACAGAGCGAGGCCGCGCTCCCTGCCATTCAGGGCAACGGCGAATTCACTGATGCCGAGATGGCGCGCATGAACCACCAGAATGCGCTTTCACTGTTTCCGCGGGTTGCCAAGGTGTTGGGCTATTGGAGCTCCTGTAGTCCCGCACAGTACTGGAACTGTCTCTTTGTCGCCTAGTAGCCTGAGTCTGTAGTTTAATAGATGATTCCGATAGTATAGTGGGTCACACCAAGTAGTAACGGCGTCTTTTCCGACTGGACTCGGTAGTTTGGGGCCAATCCCGTACATGACATAGTGCAAGTTCGATGCAAGAAACCAGAGGCTATGGGGCAAAGATGTCAGAAATCTCCCCACAGTATATATTATTATCTCCGGACAGTGTCGGGCCGATAATTGTAGCACTCAATCCCGGGCCTAAACGTGTCCAATAATACTAAAATGAAGGATTGGCACTCAATTCCACGCGAATAGATTTCATGACTCCGAGAATGCGTCAAGGAGTAGCAGCGCTGCGAAACCCGGCTAGAAGTTGGTCGCGGCAGCCGTGTGCGGCCTAAGGCAGCGTGCTGCGAGGCTTGAAGATCAAGATGCTGCAACACTGCCAGTGAACTTCCCCAGCAATACAGCACATAAGTTAGGGAGTTTTGGGTGTGGACCAGGCATTTCACCAGCCTGACCAAGTGAAGCCGGTAGACTTTTAGCCATACCGTGTATATCTCTTTCTGATAGTACCCGACCCCCCGCCCCCGGGGGCACCTGCGAGTGATTTCTCAACCGAAAAGCCACGATCACCCGGGTTAATTGAGAGGAAGACCTCTCCACGTACAGTTGATTCCGACCCTCAATGTGAAGTGGAAACCCCCTCGATCCTTGTTCCCATCCGCTCGGGAATAACGCGAAACGAGAGAAGCACGTAAACCGCATCAGTAAGTCGACTGACAGTGAGGTGGCGGTAATTCTCCGTATGGTCTTGCATATTCTGCGTTTTACTTCCCTATTAAACGACTTGCACTGGGATCCCATCTGGCAGTCAATGGCTGGCCCTGAAAGAAGGATCCTCGAGATTGTAGGGTGTGTATCTTCCCCCAGATGTAAGCCCAGGGGCTTTCCTCCACCATCTCAATAATAACACTTGTAATCACAATCTTTTCTTTACAGGAGATCGGCAGATTCAAGCATCAAGTATTTCGCGTCTTTGTTGCTGGTCTTCCGATCCGGACAACAAGGGGACCCTGGATGATTACCTTCCGTCGCTTCCGCTCGGGTCACGGCTGGGCCTCCTGTAACACAGTAGGTCGGCGAGATACCACCAACCATGTAGCATACCTTGCTGAAGGTTTCTGGTGAGACCAATTACAAGTGAGTGTCAGCAGCAACTTGCAGCTTTAGATGGGTGGATCTCCCCGCTGTGGGTCGGTCAGCACTTATTCCCCCTCACGGAATTAACGGGGATATACTCCGTAAGTGTGATGGCGCCACATCGGATGACACCCGAGGCATATGAAGGAGCTTCGTATTCCCAAAGTCAACTGAATCGACTACCCTGGTGCTCAGATGTATTGATCTGACTGCGAGTCCAAGTTGATATTTCATTGACTACACATTGTTCACCGTCAATGGATCGGGGATACGAGTTCGATGGTATACCCGATGACATCAAGCTCCGATCCACCAAAAGCGGCATTTGGTGGAGACTCCGCGTCATGATCACCCGTATTCCCATGCCTCCTACAACTTCGGGCCTGGAGGTAATCGGAGTTTAAGTCTATCGCCGCCAATTCCAAAAATATATATAAACCACGTCTTCCTCAGACATCACCGAAAGCACAAACGTCGTTATCTGCTCATCAACTATCATCATGTCTCTCTTCGCCCCCGCCCCCAAGCCCGCGAGCCGTCTCGGCTACCACCGTGTATTGGCACCCTCTGCTGGTGTCAAGGTCTCCCCATTGTGTCTGGGAGCTATGAACTTTGGAGACTCATGGTATGACATCTTTACTATCCTGGTGTGACTGGTCAACTAACCAGGCTTTTGCCGGTCTCCAGGAAGGAATTCATGGGAGAATGCAACAAGGAGCAGTCGTTTGCCCTGCTAGATGAATTTTACAGACTCGGAGGCAACTTCATCGACACGTATGTCACTACTACAAATTCAATCGCTGTAAGATGCTGATCATTTCCACTAAAGGGCCAACAACTATCAGTTCGAAGAATCCGAGAAATGGATCGGAGAGTGGATGGCTGCTCGCGGGAACCGCGACCAGATGGTGTATGTAGCAGTATCTTCACATCCTTTCACTTTGAACAAGGAACTGACCTTGCTAGCATCGCAACCAAATACACAACAGGCTTCCGCACCGCCCACCGCGACACCGAGCCTCTCCAATCCAACTTCGTCGGCAACTCCATGAAGAGCATGCGGGTCTCCGTCGAGCACAGTCTCAAGAAGCTCCAGACTGACTACATTGACCTCCTGTATCTACACTGGTGGGACTTTACTTCCTCCGTGGAAGAGGTCATGCACGGACTCAACAATCTGGTCGCATCGGGCAAGGTTCTCTACCTCGGTGTCTCCGACACCCCCGCCTGGGTTGTCGTCAAGGCCAACGACTACGCTCGAGCCCACGGCCTTCGTCCTTTCTCCGTGTACCAAGGAAGATGGAACGCTGGATTCAGAGACCTTGAGAGAGAGGTGATTCCTATGTGCAGAGACCAAGGGATGGCGATTGCTCCCTGGGCACCGCTCGGGGCAGGCAAATTCAAGTCTGCGGAGACGCGTAAGAGCGACGCCGGCTCTGGCAGCGCACGTGGCGCTGAATTGAGCGAGACTGATATCAAGGTCTCGGATGCGTTGGAGAAGGTTGCGAACAGGAAGAACACAACTTTGCATGCTATTGTGAGAATCCGATTCCATTCTTGTCTTGCTATGAAAGAAAACTAATGAGAATAATGAACAGGCTCTAGCTTACGTCATGCACAAGACACCTAACGTGTTCCCCATCATTGGCCAACGCAAGATTGAGCATCTCCAAGCGAATGTGGAGGCTTTGAGTGTGAGCCTCTCGGACGAGGACCTTGATGAGATTGATAGTGCATCTTCGTTCGATGTCGGGTTCCCAATGAACTTCATCTACCGTGATTGTTACTCTTCCCGCAATACTGCCGCCGACGTCTGGTTGACCAAGGCTTCGGCTCTCATTGATGCACCTCCCCAGGCGTCGCCTGTGCCGCCTCGTCAGGAATAGATTGCTGTCTAATAGTTACCAATAATTGATAGCTATTGATGTCATTCCCACATGACTAATAATTGACCCAAAGACCAGCTAGTACCTGATTGGCCGGAATGAGGTCGCCGCTGCTCTTGCCTCTATCATCAGTAGTTCAATCTGTTTATATTCTCCGCACATAGTCGTTTTCAATCATTTAGCTTTCCTGTAGTCCGCGGCTTTTGTCTCTCCGACATCGACCACTGCTCCTTCCTGATACTAGCATGCCTTCACGCTGGTTTGCCCAAGGCGAGGTCGCCCCGGGTACAATCATTCAGCTGATGAAAGCTAAGTGGGTAGTCCACGAGAAAGCTAGTGAGCACTGCTTCCAGCTTAACGAGGACGATCTGCGGGACAGACATGACCCCTCCTTTGCCTGTACTCGTCTCATCTGCGAAGCACGTGGACCGAATGGGCCTGTTCAGGGTCATATGCGTTATTATAAGCAGATCCCCATTGAAGGAACGGAAGCTGAGCCTCCTATCATACGAGCCAAGCAAGCAGAATCCTTTAGTCCACCGGAACTAGTGTACCTGCGCACTTTGACCCGAAAGGGATCAACCATCACCCCCCGTCTGCTGGACAGCAAAGAAGACAAGCAGGATAATACTGGCTTTGTTCCCGGTGGCTTCGTCATTTGGGTTGTGTGGGCAGTGGTACCAGGACTCCAACTGGGTAATGATATCGGCTTTGCACCATTCTGGGGGTTAAGTCGGCAAGAGCGGGATGCAGTGCGTCAAGCATTCAAAGACACTATCAGGTTTGTCATCCTAATGCCTTTTTTGTTCGCTCGCTTTCAATAACGTACTATAACAGTAAGCTTGACAACTGGGGACACTTACCTTACCCTGAACAAGCTAAGAACCTTGTGTGGGATTCTACCACGGGAAGTTTGTGAGTACAGCAGTCGGGCACTTTGTTTTTCTTATTAAGTCTGTGTTGTTACGCAGGTATTATGTCGGATTTCTCCTCACCTGCCAGGCCAATCCACGAGCTTTCTGGTCTCCCGCCAGATGGGCAGGTTGGGGTCTGGCAAGGCCTCCAAGGGAATGCCGGGATTGGAATAGAATCACAGAGGGCTGGGAGCTCTAGAGTATAATATTTATTTATTGCTGGGTTACTGCCAGGTCAGCAACTGGATGCCCCCGGGGAAGGCCATCACTTCGGTTTCAATCAACGTCCACCTGCAAAACGGAACTCAATGTGTGTTAGCAGGGTGAAGATATATTGCATGTAGATGTATAATGACTAATTTGATTTAATTTGATTTTAATCAAATTGCACTCGGTCCTTCCTTTCCTTGGAACCGCTGGATTAAAAGGCCCTGCGGTACTGCTTGCCCTGCTCCCTCTCTGGTGCACATACAAAGCCACTTGGTCTAGCAATAGCTTGTCTATCCACCAGCTCGTTCAATGCATAAGAGATCATTCCCACGACACTGGGTTGTTGTGTATAAGAGAGATTTTGAAGCGCTGTGAGTATTCAAGTCGCGAGAATATGAGATTAAAAGTAGCGATTTCCTCGAGTCTTCCATTCGGAGGGGTGCTGGTGGGCCAGCTTCTCATAACCGGGCCACAGCTAGCTCTAGTGCATGCATGATGGCTCTCCTGCTGACGCAATAAAAGCATCAATGTGCGCACAAGGAGATGGTAGGATCCCACGGCCGCCATCACGAGTAAAATAAGTCGCCTTATCACTTGCCAAAAAGGATACCGTGTTGGCCACATCACTAGGTTGGCATACACGAACCAAAGGTATGCTGCTGAGCATTTTCGCATGTGTCTCATCACTCGAGTCATGACCCAGGAAAAGCGGCATCATGGCCGTAACCCCAACAGAAGGGCAGACTGCAATCACGCGAATGTTATGCGGTGCCCATCCTATGGCAAGTCTCCTTGTAGCCTAATAACCAAACCATGCCTTTTAGTCGTTTTCTCTCTTAACCTTGCTGCAGATGTATGAATCGCTTACTGTATTAACTGCGTCTTTGCTTGCTCCATACCACACTAGATTGGGTCGGACTCAAACACCACTAGTGCTGGAGGCATTTATGAAAAGCCCACCTCTCTTCTCTTGCAAGAGGTAAGGAATGATCGTCTTGGTTCTCAGGTGTATTTGCTGCACGTTGATGCGAAAAACTCGCTCCCAATCCTCGTCACTGACCTCAATGGACAGCTGTACTTTGTGTAATACACCAGTATTGTTGACAACTATATCCAAGTTTCCAGAAACAGATAAAGATTGTTCGAGAGCTATCTGCCAATCGTCCAGAGAGGTCACATCTGCTCGAACATAGGTTATGTTGTTCGAAAAGTCACCTTGGAACTCTTCCGGCGGCTCGATAATATCGAGAACTAGAACCCGGGCACCTTCGGCAATAAACTTGATCACAATTGCTTTGCCGAATCCCTGTGCTCCGCCTGTGATTAGGGCTGTCTTACCCTGAAAGTCTCTGGGCGGTGACATGTGTGGGCGTGGTGCCTGTCATTTTCAATGGATTTTGAACGCTTTTGTTGCTGGTGAACCGTCATGGCATTGAAGTGCTTGGGAGATAGTATTTAACATTCACAATATTTATGTTCTGTTACTGCTCTTTTGGTGGGGAGGTACTCGTCAATGCTCCGAGTCCTGAAATCCGGAGGTGAGGATGTCCCGGTACGCTCCGGTGGACATGCTCCACCAGATGTCCACCGGACATGTCTCGGACAACCCTATAAGCATTCCTGAAGAACGGGGTATAGCATATAGACAATACTCATGTTTCACTTGACTGGAGGAGAGTCTACTCATGAATAAGTAAAGGAAGTACAAGCCACCCACAGCATACTTTATGGGTTCTATTAGAAATATATGTCCACGGTATTGCAGAGCATAGTGAACCCATACATTCAGAAGTAGCTATAGGCATTTGATATAACCAAAGGCCTTATACCCTATTACTCACTCACTCATCCACTCCATATGTGACCTCTGACAAGCACTGCTCGTTTTCTAGATCTTGAAGGGTAAAAATCACATCCCCCATGGAAATTTTCTCAGTGAGTTTTCAAAAATTTATGTAAGTCATATACCAGATATCAATCTATACCTGAAATTTCATATATACTAGTCACTCCGATAAAATAAACAAACATCATACCAGAACTACGAGCATGCGCTCACCACGCCACCATTTCTAAAGACGTCACCAAACCTCGATTCGCAAAATTCAATTTGTGTTGTGGAATCGGAGAATTTACAACCATAACACTCGGGTAAATTTTCCGCGATATTTCGGTGGTCAAAGTAATGATTTCCCTTCATCGTTATCGTTATGTAACCGACTAACCGTCTATTGCATTCTACTCTACATTGATTTAATCATTTCTCTTTTTTCAGGCTTATTTGTTAATCAAGGGTTGCGGCAAGCAGGTATTGGGGGCAGAGAACAGTGTGTTTCAGTGGCAGAATTATTGAACGGGTAAGCGGTCAAACAGATGGAAAAAGGGGCAACACTCGTGTCCACACTTCAGTTCATCCTTTTCCTCCTTCCACTTACACAACTAGGGATACCACAGCTAACATACATGCACATGCCGAGTCGATGATCGAACTGCTTCCTGATTAGAGGAGATTGACGATCTCACAAATCATGTCGGGCAGGTAACCGACACGTGAGAAGTTACTCTACGACAACACGCCAAGTCCTCAGTTAACCCAAATTTGCGATATGAGTTTGTATGAAAATATGACCTGTCGACAATCGCAGCTGATTAAGGTTGATTCCGCTACGGAAACTTCCTGATTAGGAAGGCAGCTAGGCGATTAGGTTGGGTAACACATGATATCGTGAGTACCAACGTGCATGCTCAAAATATGGAATGAAGATGTATCCGATTATGCACGCTTTGAATTCCCAGCCTCGGCTCGTGTTACTATGATCTGTCTGTGCAATCAGAGCCTTTCAGCTTGAGCTGTCCCATTCCGTCACACCCGGGCCTGCAACCTCGGGAGATGCCTTTCCTGGCCGAGTTAGAGTCTGCCCCATGATATGTGGCAATATGTGCCGTGCATCTGGGGAGGACGTTGTCTTCCCGTGGGAGAAAGTGTGGGTTGCTGCAAGTTCATGACCCAGATTGATTGACTGGTAATCGTAGCAGCTTTAAGCTTATCGACATCACTGAAGCACCAGTCAAGTGGATCTACCCTATGTAAGACATTGACTTCTGCTGAAGAAGATCGATATTTCCCTAAACAGACGTCGTCGCCCTCCAATAGCCACCTATAGCAAAGCACCACGGTAATTGAGCAAAGACCCAGAGATAGTTCCCCTCGACCAGTCTACTTCATGTCCATAAATGGGTTCATATAAGGAATAGATTAATTGCCGGGTAAATAACGGCAAAGTTGATTCCGGAGAATTTTGAGTTTGAGTTGTCAACTTGAAACAACCGTTTGCGCCGGGGCTCTGGGAAGAGGGAGACCCGCCTGGTCCTGTCCACTTATATCTTAATTTATCCACGTTGTAAGCTGGACTAGCTTAAGTCTGCTAGGTTTCACTCCCAGGAGCCAATTTGTGCCACGATCATGAGCTGGCCAGGTTCACCAATTGAATTCTTTCTTTGCAAGCCAAAGGTGACCACGATTCGGTGTTCAGTGGATAGGTCGAAGCTCTAGATACTTGACCCCTGAGCGGTGTAAGTTAGCTTCCGTTGATCGCTTCAGCTGGCGGCGGGTAAACACCCACTGAAGGATTCGTGTCTCACACGTTACTTCAGCCGAGCGTTTCAAAGCGGCGCGGATGGCTTTGGCAATTAAAGCTTCATCCTTGTTGCCTTTTTACCCACAGTAATAAAAAGATAAAGGAAAAATCCCGAGGCTGTGGGACAGGTATTATAGGCGACTCATGAATCAGCTTAAGGTACGAGGACATGGCTATTCGATTGCAGTTGGATAGATGCATGAGCCTGTCAGAGTCAGATCGATCCGCAACATGAATGGGTCCCGCTGGGATCTGCTCCGCTTGGCTCACCCCCTGTCATTCTTCCAAAAAAAATATGGGACTGTCTGCTCCTTGCAGGTCGATCAACTTTTTTTCCGTTGACGATCATGTTCGACTTTTTGTTTGCGCAAGCACTACTAGTCTGCCCACTTAGGAGACTTCACATTAATTGGTTCAGTTGAGGGGCCGCACGGATGACGATGTAAATAAAAGCGCGCTGGAGCTCACCTGCCAGATTTTTGCACAACAGCCGGCATGCGATCAATGGGTTTCGATCACCAAGTCACTCCCTACCACCATGGGCTCCTCGATGCCTCTTGTCGGCCATAGTCTGGCCATCTTTATCTGTGCGGCGGTAATGATGAGCGTTAGTATTATGGCGGTCGCGTTGCGCACTTTTGTTCGTGTTTATACGGTTCGAGCTTTTGGGTGGGACGACGCTCTAATGGTTTTCGCATTGGTGGGAATCCTGATCTTCTCACAAATACGACAACTGCTGATATTCAATTAGGCTTTGTTCATAGCCCTGGATGCATGTTGGATGGTTGCATCGAAGCGAGGGGTTGGCCATAAGAACGAGGACTTTACTAATTATAGTACAATGGAGCAGGCACTTCTGGTAGGTCTCTTTTCTTTTCTACCAACACGCGAGTGAACCCATAACCATTCCGATAGAACTAACCATTGTTAGTGGTGGTGGTTATGTCAAATGCTCTATAGTTGGTCTGCCGCTATCACCAAAATATCAATCGCTATTGCCCTACTCAGACTAGCTGTGCACAAAGCTCACCGCATTGTTTTGTGGACGGTGACTGGTGTTGTAATAATCGCTGGAATCATGCTTTGGCTAGTGTTCCTCGCCGGCTGCCAACCAGTGTCTTATTTCTGGTCGCATGTGAATGGAAGACATGAAGGAACATGCATACGTCGGCAGATACTGTTGGATGTTGGCTATCTCTATAGTTTCCTGATTGTGCTGTCCGATGTGACACTCGGGATCATGCCAGCCGTTCTGATCTGGCACCTGCAAATGGACCGCCGGACAAAGATTGCATTAGCCGGAGTCCTCAGCCTAGGAGCCCTGTACGTGCACTATAACTTTGACAACTTGGAAAGGGAAGATGCTGAACCTGTTCTAGAGAAAGTGTCGCCGTGATTATCCGAATCCCATATCTGCATACTTACCATGACACCAACCTTCTATGTGAGTTTACCCAGACCTTCCATCCCGTCACCACCTCCCTAACCCCTGCAGACGCAACCTACCAAATCGACTTTTGGTCCATCATCGAGATCGGAATCGGCATTACCGCAGGGAGCCTCGCCACCCTTCGCCCGTTATTCCTTTGGGTCTTCGAAACTCGATCATACTTTGGTGGTAACTCGCGTAGCAAAAAGCAAGGCGAAGAGGAGCATCCTCTGTCGAACCTATCCACGGATGCTGAAAGGTTACATAACCCAAGCAATTGGGGTGGGGAATTTGCTCCAGGAAAGTCAAAAAGTCGTCTAGTAACCACCGTCACATCTCGTCTGAGCCATTCGGATAGGAATCAGGATGCTATGACCTTGGGTGCTGGGTCATGGCAGGCACTTTATCAGGTCAATATTCAGACAACAATCAAGATATCGGAGGGAGTGGATGAAGCAATATAATTGTGTTCCCGGACTCTTGTATATACTTTCATTTGTACTTTGTTATACTGACGTACCAACTAATTAATAGAGAGAAGACACTTCGCGTGAGCATACTTTCCACGATAAGACGTGAAAGAAAACATTATAATTTATGCAGTTGTCACTGTCAGAATGTCGGGTTATGATTTACCACTCTCCGGAGGGCATGGCGAACCGAGGACGGAACGGTGGATGGCAGTTCGAGCCGTCCCGCATGCCAAGTTCATCCGACAAATCATATGCTCAGACACGAAGTATACAGAAAGCATCAGCATGTCTATAAAGCCCGTGCAGGGCCTCTGATGGAGTGATACTTCCAATGCAACGAATTCATCCTAACATCTTCTACCAACCAACTCTCAAAGCGACAACCCAACCAACATGTCTACCCCCTTCGACCTTCGCAACCCCGGACGCCCGATCCATGTCGGCGTTGTCTTGTTGAATACGTAAGTCTCATGCTTAAGAAAAAAGAATTATTCCCCAAACGGCCATCTAATTAACGACGATACAGCGTAACCGAACACCTCGACATCGCCCCCGTTGGCTTTTTCCACAACTTCAGCACCTCCTTCATCAAACACCTCCCACCCTTCGCCATCTCCGACGACCTCAGATCCCAGGCCCTAGACTTCGTCACTCACTGGGTCACAGAAGACGGCACGACCCCGGGCTCCCTAAGCGGGAACCTCAAAGTCATCCCCACGGTACTATCCTCCCCCAATCCACACACCACACCACAAGCACATCATTAACTTCCACAGGACTCCTTCGCCACCTGCCCACCCCTCGACATCGTGCTCATCGGCGCCGGCCAAATGGGCTACCAAGCCACCACCACCGAGAAGGACTTCCTCCGGAAGTGCTACGCCGAATGTTCCGCGTTCTTGTCTGTTTGCGGTGCGTCTGACGCCCTCCTAGCCACCGGGATCTTGGAAGGCAAGACGGCGACAGGTCCACTTTCGTTTCTGCCATTGTTTCGTGAGATAGCGCCGGGCACAAACTGGGTGGAGAAGAGATGGGTGAGGGATGGGAAGATGTGGACTACGGGGACGTTGTTGAATGGCCTGGATATGATTGCTGCGTTTGGGAGGGAGGTTTGGGGTGGGGAGGGATCTTTGGTGGAACATGTCCTTCGGACAGGGTATTTTCCGAGCAGGAATGTGGATTATCAGGATGAGGTCTGAAGTTGGGGATTTGTTTTACTTTAAACTGTTGAGGCATTTGTCGCCCTGATGCTTGGGGAAGAGTGGTCAATGATACTATATATTTGTTCTAGCCGACGTGGCATAGTGCTTTTCCAACATACAGTATCGGGAGGAGATTAAGGTGATGGAGAGGGTGATTGGTGAGCCTGTGCAGGTCGCTAAGTTGTTGTAGTTACGGGTGGCCGTTTCCTCTCGAGGACTGTCGAGTATAGAAGTTATATTAGAGCAGAGTATTGTCTGATGGCGGGATAGTTATGCTGATTGCCATTGTCAGCAACATGGTATCAGCGCTAATCCTAATTGGGAGGTCCGGCTACACTTGCCATCCGCCCGTCAGCTCGGCTATTCTTTCCCTCCGCACTACCATATACTCCTTCGCCCTATTTGACCGTCATCACCATCGATCGTTCTTCAATCCAAGTATCCTTCGATTTTGGGAGTAACAAATGGAAGACGATTATAAGTATATGTGTCCACGTCCACGGAGCTCCAAAGCTTGCGATGCATGTAAAACGCGCAAAATCAGGTGTATACCCAACGAGAAAGGCGGCGGGAAAGACGCCTGTCGAAGGTATGGACTGATTTCGGAGTAATGTGCTCGTGGTATACCCTGTTAACTTGGGTAGATGCGCAAAGCTTGGATACACATGTACAGTTAATGGGAATTTTCCATCAACGACGTGAGTAGCCTGTTGTCACTTACCTTCAAGCCATTTGCTAACTGCGGAAAGAAGTACAAACAGCTCGAGTGGCCGAGTGTTGAGGGCTCCTACTCATCATGGTAACGATGTTATCTCGGGCCTAATTCGAAACCAGCCAAAAGCAGAAGAGGACGAGGTGATGCAGCTGCGTCAACTGCATTGCGGTGTATTGCAAGCCCGGAGTCTAGGCGAAGGGGATTCTCGTACCCAAATAGATACCAATTCTAACGTCGGTGATACCGTGGACTGCAATTCCAGGTCCAGCAAGATCAACTTGAATATGGACGAGGCCGAACAGCTACTATTGCAGTTCAAACACCAAAGGGCATACTTCCCGTTCATCGTGGTACCCGAGGAGACCACGGCGGCGTCATTGGCATCATCTCAACCCTTTCTATTACTGGCTATTCTGACCGTATCCTTGACGCGGAAGCCGCTTCTGCAGAAGAGGTTGGATGAACGATTCCGCCGTGTGCTAAGTGAGAGGGTTATATTCTATGGGGAAAAGAGCCTGGATTATGTTCAAGGTCTGCTGGTTTATATGGCATGGTATGCTAGAAGGTCCTTTTTAGTGAAGGGTATTGACTATGATCGAGGCGTCCGTTACATATCCGACCGCTCAGTCGCCAGGGTCAGCAGTTCATGCAGATACTTGTGACTATGATATCTGACTTGAAGCTTACGGAAAATATGCACGATCAGGCCCCTCGAGACATCTGCCTCGGGTGCTTTAGTCTTTCATCTTTGTGAGTCTGTGTCAAGTAGTCTGGGTAAGGGTCTAATTCGACGCACAGGTTATCCGTTGGCTTCCGCCGGCGTGGTGATGACGTCGCCTATAAGTATCTCAAAGAAGCAGTGAATGCCAATCAGCGATTAAATCAACCGTGTGATGAACAGTTTCAACTCTCGGAACTCCATATCCTATTTGAAGAGATAATGCGCTGCCAAATGGAATCTGGCCCTCTGAAATGCCCAATGACCAAACAACAGAGAGTCGAAGAGAAAATGGAATCTTTCCGCCTAGAACTACAGATATTTGAACGAGTACATGGTCCCAGCACCAGTAAGTAATATTACAAGCCACAGAGGCAAGATACTAACATACACACTGTCCCTGTACGTCTTCTATTATCATCACTCAAAGTGCATATCGCACTTCTACCTTTCCGAATTCTTGATCCTGGACCTAGCAGCATACCAAACCTCGACCGCTTCGTCGACCAAGGTACCTCCTGCGCCACTGAAATCCGGTCTTTTTTCGAATACTTCCTTTCCCTCTCACAGGGACAATACATATTATTCTCGGTTCGGGATTGGTGCCAATTGATTCTTATCATCAGCGCAGCCTCCGATATTTGTTTCCTACCTTCTTCTTCTATGAGCCCTATATGGAACGACTTCCAAATCAAGACACGATCAGGCATGCTAATCTACCTCGAGAGTCTTTCTCATCGAATCTCAAGACTTTCCGTCACGAAGGCTGGAGAGACCCCTGATGTATTCTTTATGTTCAAGTCGGTGTTGGATATTGTGCTGTCTAAATATGCTCCGACCAGCGGGGACTCTTCAGCTCTAACGTCAACAAGCAGTAGGGGAAACCCTTCTGTGAGAGAGGAACCTGGCCGGGATGTGGCTGCTATTTCATCCACACTTTCGACCCGCTGCCCCATGGTGAACGGGAGTATCCGAGAGTCAGAATTTTGGGAGGCTATGAAGCAGAGTGATCTGTACCTGGAAGGGTTGGCGAACGGGGTGAACGGTGAGGATGTGTACACATCGGGAGTAGATAGTTTGCTCGCTGATTGTGGGGACTGGCCGAGCATCTTTTCAGAATGGATCAACGTGTCAGTCAATTGAATGAGAGACATCCTTTAATGGGTGGAGGATCTACCCCAAAGTTTATCGGGAGGAGGTGCTGTAGGTTATGTTTGAGGATTCGCATAGCCTGACATTGTGATTCCATAATTGATTCTGAGCGAAGGTCTAATATGACTACACACCAATATCGAGTTTTCGCGAGGGATTTACGATGTAAGTATCGTCAGAGTTGCAGACGCATTTTTTTGAAAGCTGGTTGTGTAAGTTGGTCCCAGGACACTGATAAAGAGTATTGCAGCTTATCTGTCACCCCTGCCCATCATATCCGCCTACCAGGAATTGTTTACGCAGCAGATAGACCAGGACTCTTACCAAAACTCACATAGGAGGCATGATGGCTGACGAGCCTCCTTAGTCAACATCTCATCGGATCCAGTCCACGGGTGGATGATTTACTTAATTCTCTCGCGACAGCGACTTTGCATGGTCGCTTTCATCTGGGTATGACCGAAAAGCAACTTGAGGGAAGACATGCGATCAATCAAGCCAGAAAAATGGGAAAGCTCGCGAGGAATGCTTAGCATCCGAGAACGCTGAAGGTGTGGGAGTCCAGGGCCCAGGTACGAATGTTATCGACTGCTGTCGGTGATACTAGGCATATGACACTCACATTTCCAGATGTTTTGAGTTCCAAGGCCCGAGATAAGGACTTGCATTAGTATTATTGCTGTGGAGTAGGTCAGAATCCAATCAAGTATGTCGTCAATAGGCACCAAAGAACTACGAGGCGGACAAACTCAGCTCCTTGCGTGTTTCTCTGCGTACTTTTGCCATAACTCCTAATGGGCTTCGTAACTAGGCGGAAATAAATGTTGAAAGATGGGATTAAATTAGAAAGGTCCAAGGTCAGCCGCTGCAAATGAGAGGGACGTATGGGTTGGTGTGACTGGTACCCCTGCATACTACACGGAAGGCCGACCCGGTGAGAGAACTCAGGGTAGGTTTTAATAAGTAGACGTGGAGCAAGGAAAATGTTGAATCCTAAGTACGCTGCCAGGAATATGTTCCTGTGAGCAAATGAAGGAGATTTGCAGGGAGGTGGCAAACTAATTAGCAGTCACTAGCGGCGAGAGATATGGAGTCAAAAAATCGATTCCTGGGGCGAAGTTTTGGGATTCAGCCTTATATTAAGTTGTATTAATGTTAAGCTGTAGATCCTGGTGGACTCAGCTCGCAAATTTGACGGGGTTGTCTCTCTGATGCGTATTGGAAGGAAACTAAATAGGGACTCATATCGGACCTCCAACAGCAACCTTGCATCTTTTTCAAACCCTCGGTCAGAAGTGCAGTGCGACATGAACTGGTAAGTGCGGTGGTGGAGCCAAATTTCTGACAGGTCAGCTGTTGGTGAGTTGAGACTTGGTGAACCTGTTTCAGTTTGCACCAGCCCCTGGATAACTTCGTTTCATCGTAGAATTTTCGGCCCCATACACCCATGCTGCCGTTCGTTTTTATTGGTGTGTGCCCGGATGGTGATTTCTTGATGCAAGTATCCGCGTGGGTGCAGGGCTATCGCAGCATCAGCATTGGTGTTTGTGTCTCAGCGCCCCCACCAACACCGAGTCAGCGCTAAGCATAACCGCTACCCATTGGTGTGAACAGCCTTGCGCCGTTGCACCTTCGGATCCATTCAGAATATAAGCTAACGGCGTTCATTGGCGAACTGTAAATGAGATCATTCCGATTAAATTGCACTGACCACCTCAACCTGATAAGCTTCTGTTCTTTGTTTCCGATCCTTTGTCTACTTTTTGGCCGAGAAATGAACTATTCTCCCTTCGCCATGGTTTCAATCTTGAGCAACAAACTTGGGGTCCAAAATGCCCATTACACACTCACGCCATATTAATTTCCCACGAGGCTTTTTCGCATGCGACGCAATGACTCATGACTGGAAGAAATGTTCCTGATTTCCCTCACATCGACCCACGCGATGGATGTACACTCAGAAATGGATCTAGCAAACGCCCCGCCCTATGGCAACCAGCCTGTAACATGCCACAACCATCCTGACGGCTTGCATTAGTCTATCCTGATATTGCAGATGGGATAGAGAAAATTCTCCTATTGGTTACAACCCTGCATCGCCAGGTTCGGAGTATTGATTGGCTCGCATAAGGCAGCCGTTTATAAAGACTCGCATGCCTCCGAACCAGTCCCAGCATCACGCCCACTTTCCTTCACCACCCTCCCGGGCTCTTCGCCCACAGTCACTCCTTTATCGAACTACTACAGTTCATACTCCATTCTTCAATTCTATTCCACTCGTGCAGATAGGCTAGAAGCCCTCACGATGATAAAATTCTTGTTCATTGCCCTTTTCGGGCTCCTATGGGCTAAGCAGGCGCTGGGCGCCGCCGTGTTCGCCCACTTCATCGTCGGCAACGCATGGAACTATACACTCACAGACTGGGAGGATGACATGACACTGGCCCAGGAGGCCCATATCGACGCATTTGCCCTGAACATGGGTTACGGTGACTCGTCCACCGCAACGCAGGCTGCTCTCGCGTTCGAAGCAGCCAACAAAGTCGACTTCAAGCTTTTCTTTTCCTTCGACTACGAAGGAGGCACCGGTGCCTGGCCAGAATCTGACATCCTCACTTACCTTAACAAGTACGCCTCCAACTCCGCCCACTACAAGTACAACGGCAAGGCGTTCGTCTCTACTTTCGAGGGTACCGCCTACGCGACGGACTGGAAGTCCATCAAATCTCAGGTAGACTGCTTCTTCGTCCCGGACTGGTCTTCTCTCGGCGCAGAGGGCGCCTATGAGGCTGGCGGTGGAGGTATCGTCGACGGCCTTTTTAGCTGGGGTGCCTGGCCTAACGGTCCGAACAACATGAGCAATGCGACGGATCTCACGTACCTCGACCTCGACATCCCCTACATGATGCCCGCCTCTCCATGGTTCTACACCAACCTCGCCTCGTACAGCAAGAACTGGCTATGGCGCGGTGATAGCTTGTGGCACGATCGGTGGGAGCAGATCTGGGATCTGCAGCCGGAGTGGGTGGAGATCCTTACCTGGAACGACTACGGCGAAAGCCACTACATCGGTCCCATCCGCGAAGATGCAATTAGTCTCATGACGACTGGTGGTGCACCGCTGAACTACATCGAGAACATGCCCCATGATGGATGGAGAGACCTTCTTCCTTTTGCAATCGACACTTACGTGAAAGGAAACGCAACTCTCGGCGACGAAGACATCGTCACCTGGTACCGACCGAACCCGTCGGAGTCCTGCGGCACAGGAGGTACTACCGGAAACACAGCCAGTGAGGGACAGACGCTATACCCGCCCGCTGAAGTGGCCGAGAACAAGATCTTCTACTCAGCGATGCTTCACTCGCATGCCAATGTCACTGTCACTGTTGGTGGCACGTCGTTGGGCGCTACTTGGGCCAAACACGGCCGGAACAGCGGCGCAGGACTCTACCACGGTGCCGTGGAGTATGGTAGTGCGACTGGGAAGGTGGTGGTTAGTATCACCCGGGATGGGGAGACGCTGGCCAGCGTGGCTGGTCAGTCGATTAACGCGACGTGTGTAAGTGACTTGTCCAACTGGAATGCTTGGGTTGGATCTAGCGTTGCGAAGAAGACGAATTCCCGTCGTGATGCTACACTCCCACTGAAGAGTAGACATGCGCACCGTCATGTTGGGAGAGGACATAACCGCTTTCATTGATGCAGGCATAGTGGGAGTTTAGATTTCAATTCAATTCGGTACAATGTATATTTCTTTTCCAAGGTTTATCGTACGGTGAACATCAAACACGCGGTGATTCATGAGATATTTTAAGGATTACAACACAAGATATATAATGAGTAAGATACACAGCGTCACTTTGACGCCTATCTCAAGGATTAAAAGTATCAAGGAGATAGATAAAGGCATACGCACACGCACACACAATAACAGGGCGCACTTTCCTCTCGCCTTTAAGAGGTATGTTAGGTATGCGGTATTAGCTAGCGACTATACAGCCTGAGTCAGTATATTGGACATCTGCTTCTCATTCCAGTTCCATTGTATCCGATAGTGTTCATCTGCGCTGCGAAAGGGTATAAGGAAAGTCCACAATCGCAAAGCGCGGTCAGTGATGGAAGGCTAATTAGTGCCCACTGGAGAACTCTTTGGTATTATGCTTCGAATTGCGATTATGGGCTCAGCAGATACCCCAGCTAACTGTTATATTATATCTTCTTTCCAAAAGACAGCATGATAAATCTAGCTGCAGTGAATTTAGAAAAAATAATACATCTCTATATAAGTAGAATCACAGAATATAAAATACTAGATAATAATTAAAAATAAAGAAGATATCTTTATCTTCTTATTTAAATCAGTAATAAACTACTTTATATTAAAAAGTACCAGTCTTCTAATCTTTCTTTTTATTTATAAAATTATATTTAGCCCTTGGCGGTAGCTCTTCGGTCGTTATAATGATTGAATCATAATGCCGTGCAGCATGCTCCTGCCAAAAACGACCCGGGAGTATAACTGAGCGGCAAACATTAGATAGATACGAACATCGCATACGCCCACGGCATTACGGAACGATGATAACAAGACTAGCACTTTGAGAACAATGACTCATATCGAACAGTAATATTGACATTATTTTTTTGGTGATCCGCTTTTCCATCGACGCCATCATGACCACTTGCGGTGGCGCTGCCGGTGTACTTGATTCCAGAAACCTGGCACATTCTCCCTTCTCCCCTTCCCCTTCCTACTCCTCGCTTCCACCTTCTAACTTCCCCCTACTCACTTCTCCCTAACGCCTCGAAGCCTTCTGATGTCTAATACCAAAGCCTTCTACGATTCATTGCGCACCAAAACACTACAGGAAGAAATACCGAGATCGGAAACCCCCTAGTTCCACTCTTACGATCCTAACCCATTGTCGCCTACAATGGATGACTCCTTTGATCCTAAAATCAAGAAAATTATGCTCGGCATTGTCTTGTTGGGAGTGGGCTTTTTCGCATTTCTTACCCTTCTGGCCGGTGGCTACATTATGTACTAATTCCTTTCCTATCATAAAGTGCGACGACACGGTATCTAAGACTAACTTCGTTCGTCTACCTAGTCCACTATCTCCCGAGTCTGTCTACATTACGTACACTATTGACGATATGAGTGGACTGCTGCAAGGCATCGAAGGGGCCCTTCAACAAGGATATCGTGTCCAAGTCATCTTCGACAGGGTATAGAGGGATCCTAGGGTAGAGGATCATGGATAGAAATGAAAAGAGAAGCTCATGACTGATGACAATACTTGTCTCTAAAGGGCTTTTTTATAGTTGCTTGGTGAGTTGTTTGTCCTACTTAGGTTTGTCCGAACTATGCTTAAGTCGTTATTTTGAAAGGCGTTTTCGCTTTACCGCTAACTCGCTATTACCTCGTTGTGCGGGTCGTTATACAGTAAATAGTATTCCCATATTTGATCGACCCCTAATATGTAAGATTATAGCCTTAAAGTATCTTATCTTTGAAGCGAGAGGATGGCTTAGCCCCGGTAAATTACTTAAATTCAGAAAAATACCTCCAAAAGCGCATGCTGCCACTATAACTAACCATACCACTCAAATAGAATAGAGAAAAAGAAATAAATAAAATATATTATAATTAAACAGTTAATTACCAGTGACATCCTTTCTCTGTCTTTACTCTAATTTACTATTTCCTGCTTCCTATGTGGTTTTTCTTTTTATTTAGGACATGCTGCCTCGCCTACTTTAGTAGAGTATATTTAGATTATGTATTCTGAGATATTCATTCTCTGTCTTAATAAGGTATAACTAAATACTTGTTAACTAGGTTGAACCTGTTAATTTATCAGCTATTGAAGTATTTATTTATATATAGACTAGTCTTTTTTTCTAATAAAGCAAGATTTATCTTATTATAATTTATATCTTGTAATCTAGGTCTCCTCAACATGATTTAGTATGACTATGATAATTATCCCATGGAATCTTCTATTATTAATAGAAAGAAGAGCTGGGACGAGATGATATGGGATATCAGAATTAGAGAATAAAGTATCATGTTAGATGGTTCTCTAGCCTTGGATAGCACGTGCTTAGACAGCCACTGCGGAAGAAGTAGCGGCCCATCAGAAAGGCTGCCGGCCTCAGGCATGGTCGGCTTGCGAGATCTCAGTTTGAATCGGTAGCTTGGGGGACCTTGTCTAAAATCACACCATACCTAAAAATATTTCCGTCGGCTATATTTTAGGAAACATGTCTGTACTGGTCATCATATTACACTCCCATCTACTAATTTCACTGTCACGGAGCATCTATCTGTTATCGTAGACAATCCTTAGCTGCTGGCTGCAACTTGCTGCCCAAGATATCTAGGAACACCTGTTCGAAAGATGGACAAACTTGGTACTCTCGTATTTGGCCTGTGGCTCTACTGGGATGATAGTATTGGAGCATTCGTGCCATCTAATGAGGATGCGTGATGATTCATTGCCGAAGAAACAACTCGAACAACGAGCTCAAAGACTATGAAGCATATTCGACTTCCCGCGCAGATAGTTTATTCAAGAAAAACACTGGGAAGACAAAGGTATTGAAAGGGCGGATTAAGTTAGAAATAAAACTATTAGAAAGTCCTGTGTGAAGGTATGAAATTCGTAGCAACAGTGAACGCCCCGTCAGTCCAAGAAAACTAACGAGTGGTTGAAAGTCCACAAGATGAAATTGAATTGCACGACCATGTTACTGAGTAACAGTACTCTAAGAAGTGCACCGACATTGCCGGTTTTGCGACTGCGCCTAGTGACGATATGGGTACAGTCAATGCCGTTAGCCATAAGTACCATGTCGCAATAGAATTGGGAGCAATAATTCAATTTGAATATAAATAGTATAAAAGCTGCGAATAGAGCTGCAAAAGAAGAGGATGTATGTACGGCGAACGGTGACCGACAATAACTAATGATGGCGGCCTCGCCTGGGAATGGTACCAGGAAGACCAGATATGCGAAGGCTGCGATATTTGGGGAAGCTATCGCATCCGACGTGATGTTATGATTGGGCGTACAACAAAATGGCCAACATTGATTACTGCCGTGAGAATTGATCTTTTTCTCGTGGTCAACTTGGCACTGCGCTCGGATGTGGTCAACGAAAGCCAACTTAACATGGGCCTCACCACACTGAAGAAATCCAAGCCAAGGTTTAAGTACAACTCGCACCGGGTGCAGGGGCAGAAGCAGATATAGATGAGCGAGAGGGTGCTGCCATCAATTTATAATCGCGGGTTACGAGCACGGAGAAAATAATAGCTAACATAACTGTTTAGATTGGCTAGGTGCCCCGACTTCGATAAGCCCAACTGTATTATCTACAACTATGGCAATGTCGGCCCACTCCTTGTAGTTCTTCCTGAGCACGAAGTTCATATAGAACTCGTTTTAGAACTAGCCCGGGATTGTGCTATGTTAGGCTCCGACGATAAACAAAGTCTAGCCGACCGGGGAGAAGTTGTTGATATGTTAGCCGCACACCCCCAACAGCCTTCTCCGCACATGTTCCCAGGTCAGCAGCAGCAACAGGGTGCACCAAACATGAACCATGGCCCTCAAGGGTCTTACTTCATCCTCTTCAGCACGCCCATACTGTACGTGGAACAGCCTCACTGGTATGATCGGCTGCTGGACGTATTGCTCGGCGAGGATGAAACCCAAAGAGACAGCTTGACGTCGGTCTATCCATGCTGTTAGAGACAAACTCTGGATAGTAACCGCACGAGGGATATCTTATCTTTAACGCACGCAGCTAAAAAGAGGAGAGCTAGGCACTGAAAGATACTGGAGAAGTCCAATCATACCCCTACTCCAATCAGAACGATCCCAGGTAGTTATAGACTAATTTCAGGCCCCATTCAAGGCTTTGCACAGGGTACACAGGTCCCCATGCGAGTGATTGCGTGTCTCCAAGATCTAGCTCGCAGGTTCACTGTGACTGTAGCTTCAAAGTCTTCAAGATACGAATCTTTTAGATCGTGGCCGTCAATCATAATGAGGTGGTTGGAAGGATGATCCGCCGATTCAATTATATCTACCCCACCATATTAGTGTTTGGGCTACAGGCTGCATTAATGGGCAGCCTGCTCAATCTATATCGGTTCCATTGACTTGATTGTGGCATTTTACTTTCAGATAATGGCGCGTATAATAAGCTAGGTACGTAGTAGGTGCCGCTGTTAACCCTGCCAGCTGAACCACTAGCAAGGACATACTAGGTAAAACTCGATGACTGAGTGATTAGCAGCCTACATCATAACATCAGATATTTGGACAATTACTATACGCTATATTGAGAATAGACAATTTTTCTGTGCGAACGCAATCACTATACAGTATGATGGTAATGAATGAACAATGCCCGTGTATAGGAGATGGCTTCCTTCTATTACCAGTCATGGAAATCAAGACCTTGACCGTGGCAAAGAATCTCCTTTTTGCCGTCGACATTGCTCGGGCGCGCTCACCGATGAGGCATGGGAAATAGGTGTGGCAAAGATTCAGGGCATCGACATGCATGTGTGTTCCGGGCGCAGCTGAGCCTGCTGAGGGGAAGCGGAGAAAGTCCCTAATGGTTTCAGTTTGGCGGGCTCCACTTGCGACGGAGCTAAAACATGAAGGTCCAGTTATATCGACTGGGCCAAATCCCGAAAGACATATACTATTCGGAGCTGAGCGCAGCAAAGCAAATGTTGACTCGAGGTGACAACCGAGACGATACGCCATCCTTCCAGTCGTATGTTTCCTGAAACTATAAAAGCCTTCTCAAGAAACACCCATCCATCTTCGCATCATCAGAGCCCATTTTTACCAGTACCGTTTATTCTATCACCTTTGAGTCATATTTGCACCATGTCCTCAACTTCCGATGCTTCCTGGGAAGTTTCTTTCCTTCAGGTTCAGACCACCACAGCAGATGCTGTCACGGATACTCTCTATGCCAATGGCCACATGCAGGTTCCTGTTGTTGTTGTTATCAAAGCCATTGATCCTGAGTCGGCTGCAACATATAAGCTGAAGGATTCAGACCTCGAGAAAATAAAATTGGGTGATTACGACGATGAAACTCCAGCCACGGAATTATCGGGGTCATGGAGTTAATCAGCCACAGAAAACGAATTCGACCACGCATTGCCAACCTCGAGAAAAGAGCCCCAAACGGACTTATCCCTTGCGGATGGGGACCCTCAAAGAAAGCGCTACTGGGTGACAACGACAAAGATCGAAAACAAAAGGATTGGAGCCAGTATTGAACAGCCTGATGGTACTGTTGTACATACAGCGAGTGCAGGCTTTGATTCCAAAGTCACTCTCCGGAGTATAGACCCAGTGGAATATACAATGAATGACTTGAATATTGAACAAGAGGATACCGCCGATGGCAATTTTTATTCTCCGAACTATCACTGGTACTGGGATCAAGACAATTACTATCTCACCAGCAAGATATACGATTTCCGAAAGGTTAAACTGTATGGTTATGATGGTGGCACTGATCCATACCTGAAATATTCCACCGGCTTCTTTTCGGTGCACGAGCCTTGCAACATCTTCTATTATTGGCTGATGGGCTCCAAGGAGACGCTTACAGTGGGGAGGGGACTTATGACAACTGAGATTACGATAAATCAAAGAGCCAACGCCATGTGCTGTACCCGTATGCGGTTCGAAGGGGCAAATCCATGGAAAGAGCATCATTGGTGGGAGGGTAAATTTACCATCTACGACAAATTTGGCAATTCGGGCATTTTTTTCATGGGCTATGATGAAGATCGTAATCAGCTGCAGATCTCAACTAAAGGATATGAGGGTTGACATGCTTTGTCCCAATACGGAAAATGGAATTGTGGGGTTCCTGTGATGTTGTCGTGTTTTGAATCCGTGAGATTTTGATACGAATTCTTTTTATCATATAGCTAAGGCGTCTTGCTATCGGACAATGTCGCTTGCATTATCGTTGTTGATCCCGCAAAGGTTGAGAAGTACACATAGGACGTGCATTAGCTTTTGATCCGTTGATGGACATAGAGTGGTCTAGTGACTGGGGTAGTCTTCGAGTGTAGAATACTAATGGTAGATTCCCCCACCCTGAAGAAACGACAAGGTTTGTACTAGCTTTCCCCATGAAGTAAAGGATTTCGGTCAATACCATGTATTACTAAATTATCTAGCTATTTTTACATTGAGAAAAGGAGAAAGGAACGACAAGGACGGGTTCAGCGGTATCACATAACGAGATGAAGAGATTTTGGATACCTTTGGTACATCCATCGGTGCGTAGAGGATCAGACCAAAATAAAGAAAATCTCAGGAGCGGCGGAACTCCGTGCGTCCGTGAAAGGTCGTGAGGATGGTATCACATCGATAGTGGAAGCAAAAGAAGGAAAAGAAAGAAAAAGAAAAGACAAATATCTAACCAACCAGAAATGGCTGAATATATGACGACCCTGACCTTATGCCTAAGGATATAGACATATATCACTTCATCATTTCTAGTTATCATGGGAAAAATAAAGCAAAAGGCTGCCGCAGCATAAAATTCCTCAGCCCTTGGCCTTGGATGTTGTTGGTCCCAGGTTCCGGACTAATCGAGACTTATCCGAATATAACCTTGAAATGGCCTCGCCGCTCATATAGAGCTTTTAGGAGTTGACCACCATCATTCTGGTTGTAAAGAACACAGTTGGGTTCATTAATGAGGGGAGCACTGATTTGACATGCCCAATCATGTTAGCCGTCCATACCTCCCAACAAGCCCAGTTTGTTATGGGAGTGAGGTACATACAATATCTTTGTCAGGCCCCAAAGAAACATAAGTAACAATAATATGCCCATAAAGACGCATGTGAGGAACTCCCGACTTTCATCACTCAGATGGGGGACCAAGAATGAAGGATAGCAGGAAGTTAGTTTGGTAAATGATCGACGGCTTGCGTTCATGGTCTGAGATTCCGGCATTCTTGATCTTATGGTGTGATGCTTTGGCCTTTCGGATTCCATGGCGTAATTAGCTGGAGTCAGATACGAGGGTGTCAGAGTGGAGGTGAAAAGGAGGAATCAGGAAAGGGAAATGGGCTGGGACAAATATATACATTTGTTTGTACAGCTACTAATGATGATGCACGTTGACGGAGGTCGGTTCCAGCGGCTACTCGTTGCTGACGCTCTATAGCTATTTTTAGATCTGGAGCAACATAACAGGGAAGGCCGCATAGTCACCATAGTGGAATAGCAGAAGAGGTATCAATAGTCAGACATTTGTCTACAGTCGCACTCGATGCCTATTGTTAGGAACATCTCTCTCCCTCGCTGAACTGACGTGATTTATCGTCTTTGGTTTGTCGGTTAGCGCATCCATCATTTACTGTCTGTCTTTCATTTGACTATCAGTGTAATTCCTTGATGATACTGTCGCTGAATAATTTTTGGGGTTGATTCAGTGGTAAGCTGTGATTGCACCTGGATAATGAAATATTTTAAGTTCCCGAAGGTGATGGTGCAGTGCACGTCTGATAGGTATAAGGGGGCACAAGTTATATCTGTGGCTTAAGTGGATTTTATGCTATCTAACTATTGTAAGTCTTGGAGTAGTATTTCACTGAGCATCAGTCAAGCAGGCTATCGTTTTACAATGATGTAACCCCTACCACAGAACTTCACCAAACCATAATAACCGTATTGCATATAAAGGCTCCCTAGGCGCCCCGAGTGATTAATATGGTAGATCTTTTTATTTCCTATTCATATTCAAGCGGTGCCTTCAGGGACTACAGTAAGGATGGCCACAGTGTATCATTTCGTGAGCAGTATCCAAGGCTTGACCTTGTCCGCACGATCCTACTGCTATAGTCTGTGCACTCGGGTTCTTCCACTGAGTATTGAGGATAATGATGACATAGTCGCTGTTACCTATACAGCAACAGCAGGTACTTTGATGGCGTCACCCACAAGGCGCCGTAGCGGCGAGTACAATTTCCGTCCATGCGTATCATCATTGGCTACGGTGACGAGAGAGATTTGCTCTATTAAGAAGAGAGAATCTCCAGTTAGAGATTCTATCTTTTTACCTAACAACACCCTCACACGCAAAAGCCCTCCAACTCAAAACAATACTGTTAAGCCAGCCCTCGAATATACCAGTCAACCTGCTAAGCTCATCTACTTTACATACCCCAGTGCCGATGCGGAAGCGCTGCTGCGAGCAATTGAAGGGATCCTGAACAAGCAGGCTGTATCATAACCACCTTGAACATCTGGACTTCTCTGACAGCGGTCCGTTTGTGCTAACATTTTTCTTCGGCATTTCGTCTTGAATTACAATTCAGCCGAGGCGATATGCAGGTCCAGCAAGCATTGGCAACCGCCCACAATTACTGTGATATCAACTGCCACATTTGTCACATCAAGGAGAATATCCGGCATGACCAAAGGCCGACGGGGAGATGGCTACTAAGAGTACACAGCTCAACACCAAATAAATGCCAAATATAAGTCTCGCTTCAGATAATATAAGTACATACGACCACAGGGTGTGGAAAACAGGGCTTCCCGTCCGCTCAGCCGTACTTAAGCCACACGCCGGGAGGTTAGTAGTTGGGTGGGTGACCACCAGCGAATCCCTTCTGTTGTATGTATTTTTCTTCCTTTGTTTTTGATTTTTTTTATGTATCTTGTCTCTTTTGTTCCGTGTAGTGGCTGATGGATGGTTTCATGGTTGTGGTGACCTTGTGGTGGGTGGACTCCACTTGGATCCGACATATGGTTCGAGAGGAGTAGCATCGTAGTCACAAGACGATTTATTCTATGTTTCAGAAGTAAACACTGCAATTTTCTCTCCAATAATACTGAAGGTAACTTTTGATAGCATAAAGTCATGTTCGAGTCCACGTATCCCAAAAATTAAATATCGAAGCTTCATCCATTAGCAGATCAACAAAATCGTCCGCCGAGATATCGTTATAACCAGGTGCATTGAAGGCTCCGGTTTCCGCAGTCCCTGCAACTTCACCAGCCCCTTCCAACCGCGAGGTATCGGTTGGATCATTATTTACGTCAGTATCATGGAATCCTAACAAAGCAGTCTCTGTGTTCTCTGGGAAGAGCAGCTGAATGGCCTTTGCGAAGATGGCGCGGTAAATGGACGCAACGGTGTATGTTTTCTGGAGTTCTTCCATGACCATCATGCACATGCTAAGTTTGTTGAAGCGGAGGCGCTTGGACAAAGAATTGCCGATCTTGCAGTTGAGGAGGTTTGTTTGCATTGCTGGGACGAGGAGGGGAGGCCTTTTGACCCACAATGGTCAGTAAAGTGCTTATTCTACATCAAAGGCGGACAAGATTTACGTACGTCATGGGCCCCGCAAATTCAAGCAGGCCATCTTGAGCAATAGCTTCGACGACGGTATTTGTGTGAGAAGCTGCTGCGTCGGCCTTCAGTCGCATACGATGCTGCCAGCTTTCTTTCTCACCTGGGTCGAGGTCTTCCGGCAACGTTGTGGTGAATGGACGATAGAATGTTCCCGCAAGCGCACTGAATAGTTATCTATTAGTCTAGAATCTTGTACGGTACAGGGGCTCGCGTCTCACTGATAGTGCAACTGAAGGTGATAGATGCTGAAAATAGCCACACGAGATAAGCTTGGATTGTCTTGTTCTGGAATTGTGCATTGGGATATCCTATTTTCCATGTCCTTGACGTCTTGTAGAGACGGCCTAGGCTTTCTTGCCTGGTAGTGCATGCTAATCACATCGCCTAGCATAGCGCTGATTTCCACGTACTTGACCCAATGATTGGCCAATTCTTCCAGATTCTCTGGTAAGTAGGATGTCACTTGTGGAGACAGGCGTATAACATCGCTCAGAATATCGTTGACAGACGGCTTTGGCGTATCGCAGTCGTGGAGGTTGATCCGCAACGGTCTGCCCAGGGTCAGACTCAACCATCGGTCGCGCGAAAAGCAAGTCCACCATAATCTTCGCCAGAGGTGTCGCTGGCGATCCGTGATCGAGGAATTGTAAGTGGACAGATCAGGATCTCGATGAAGGCCTAACATTTGACAAAAGCTGATGGCAATGCCCATCCAGTACCATGGTTGTGTGTGTTCGTCGGCTTCGGAATGCCAGAACGCCATCAGCAACGATGCTTGCAGTAGAATGATCTTATCCATTTCTCCCCCGTGATTGTACATGCACTTTTCATTGGCCAGTTATCAGCAAGTGGAGTCTAGTGATCCTCATCAGATAAGCACTCACGTTTGCTCGAGAGTACATCGCCGCCTTCATTTCTTTCCGCGATCCGTACCCTTCCTGCTCGTATACATCGGGAGCAATAAACTGCAAATTTCTGTCAGTTGAGCTGCAAGCTGAGCTTCCAGTGCGATCCCTACATTCGACGCCACGAAAAAGATGCACCATAATATCAAGACATTGTTTTCCGGTAATCGGCCGGTGCGGTGGTGTTCGAGAATCACGTCTGGTTCAAGTATCGGCATGATCGGATGTACGTGATGGAAGTAGGCTCGCAAAAGACTCTCGCATGTTGCTGAGCCCGGCATTGTAAATACACCCTTGCTTTCGAGGTGCTTCTTATCCTCCTCCGCCAGATGAACAGCTGGACTCGACGGCACGAGGAAATGTCTCGACAGCGACTGGTCGGAGAAGCATATTTCCAAAGCAGATGTTGGCCCAGTTCCTGCTCCTATAAAAGGAATTAGTGTGTAACAGGCTGGTGCTCGCAGTGAGTTGAGTCCTTACCGGAGTAGAAAGGCACTCTGCCGGCTCTTTGAGGCTGACCCAACGCAGCGGCGGCAATTTCGAGTCCATACCGCTCCTCGCTTTCTGCATCATTGGGCAGCAAAGGTGTGCCCCTTCTGGATACGGGATCGGTCGCGTATTGATGTATCGTCTCTCGGGCATAATCGGGAGCAGGAGACGAGATAACCTGGGGACGGGTTGCGCGGCTCACACCCGGCAGGACGTTGTTCGAAGGGGTATGAGGCTGCTGAACTCTAGATGTCCGAGTGCGGCGAAGCCTGAAAAAGAACTCTCAGTCAGTCCGGCATCCAAATATGATGATAAAGTCGCGCCCACCTTTCCTGTCTTTTCGGATCCACGATACATTGTGTGTTATCCTGTGCACACCCGATGCAAGGAATACCGGTAATGTTAAGACTGCATCTCACTTTGCGAAGTCTGCAGGTCTCACAGGCAATTGTCGATCGCTGGTGGCGCCTGGGCGTTGATTTCTGTTGGTTGGTGGGCATTCTAGCGTCTGATTATCAAGGATCTATCTGGTGTCTGCGGTCATCCGAGGAAGCTGTGGTTGTGGCTGGAATCTTGATGTATCAGGCAGAGACTAACCTCGGAAGATTGCTGAAATCGCACGCAATCCGATTGGAGGATATGTTTCCGCTGTGGGGACAAGCTCGGCATGCCGAAAACAGGCCGGGGCTCGGGAATCTCGGCATGTCAAATCATGGCATCCGCTATTTGGGCTCCACCTATGGTCCAGCACACTCTTCATCGAGCCGTTCTTGTACTATCGCTAACAGCAAAGTACCATAGCTTTGTACATCTACTCGTATTACCTAAAGTCTTTCAGTTGTACCTCTCCTTGAGTTACACCCTTCATGGTGAGTCGATGTCTCCTTGGTTGAGGTTGTGATTACTAGTACTGACATAGGGTTAACCTGGTAGTTAGCCTATACGTCGTAGAGGGCTATTAGCAAAGAGGCTGTTGGGGTATTCGTAGCTGACTGTTGGATGTTGATCCTGAATCAGGACCTACGACGGTATTGTCAGGTAACTAGATATATATCTACATATAGCCATGTGTACGTATGAGTAAAGAACATTTATTAACAAACTAAGGAAGGAAAAAACAGATCTTCAATGTAATCGACTTAGTTAATGCTGCCTAAGTCAGATTTCAAAAACACCCCCACCTTCTTAAATGTAAAGTCTAAAACAACCATTCAAGGGAAACGGGATATAGTGCTTGTCAAATTGCATACATTCTATGTGGGAAGTCATCTAGCTATATACAGCCACACTATCGTGGGTACAGCTCGTCCATGGCGGCGAGCTTGGCCTTCTTTGCTTCAACGGCGTTCAGGGCTACAGAGATTCTATGCTTCTGTTGGCATCGACTTTGGCGGCCATTTCACCCGCCGTTCTGCGCGTACGTACAGATTGTTGGGCCTGATCAGCTGAAACATGGGATCATACTCGATAGGCCCATTGTCCTCCAAGGAGAACTTATAGCGGTAGACCAATTTGGGCAAGAAGACCTTGACCTCTTGGAGTGCAAAGTTGAACCCAATACACATGCGCGGGCCCGTTGCAAAAGGAATATATGCCGCCTTGTGCCTGGACTTTACCTCCTCGGTGTCCCAGCGGTCGGGGTTGAATCGAGCAGGGTTGTCCCAAAGATCAGGATGGTTGTGAATATGGTGCAGTGCTGGCACTATAACTGACTCTTTGGGCAGCCTGTACCCTCCAGGTAAGACCAGGTCAACCTTTGCTGTTCGGCCCGGCTGGAAGGATGGATTGTGGCGGCGTTGCGTTTCTTTGATATATTTATCAAGGAACTCTAATCCGTCGGTGAAATCAGCCGTAATTTCGGTATTTTCGTCGAATCCATGATCCACTAATTCTTGAAGAAGGCGTTCTTGCATGCCTGGATACACACAGAGACCGTAAATGAGCCAGGATAGGAGAGAGCTGGTGGTAGTGAAACCAGCGGCAGTGGCAACAACTAGTGCCCAGGTTAGACTTGACTTTGGCAGCTTCTCGCCCTTGTTGTCAGTCGCACGAATGGCATAGTCTGCTACGGGTCAGCTTTCTCCTATCGTTTGACATGCTACTAAAAATCAACGATTGTACCTACCAACCATGTTGTCTGCTTTTAAAGCAGCATCCTGCAAAGGCAAATCCTCGTGACCTCCCCGGGAAGCCGCCTCCATTGACTGCGCAACCATGTCCTCGATGCTGGTTTTCAAGCTTCGGAGTCGTTTTGGGTCGCCAAATGGCAATCCAGCATACCAATTACCCATAGATGTAACCTTCTTATTGAGAGAAAGCAGTTCAGCAATGTTATGGACCATCTCATGAACTGGAGCATCCGGTGCTTCAAAATGCTGAAAGTCGAGCCCTAGAACGAGCTTCCCAACCGCCTGAGAACCCAGCTTGAGCATGTACTGGTACACGTTCCAAGCCTCGTCCTGTTCATCCAGCGCGTCA